TATTTATTTATTAAAAATTTGTCACAAATAAAATATAAATAGAGCTGGAATGTTACTCAACCACTGGATTATGATGATGATGATAATAATTAAGATTACCATAACAAGGATAGGGGGATGATGATGATGATCGTAATGATAATAATAATAAATAATAATAAATAAAAATAATAATAATAATAATAATAATAATAATAATAATAATAATAATAATAATGTGATAATATTAATAATATGCTGAGGCATATTTAAAAAAATATTATTTTATCAAATTTTTCTAAGGCTTGAAAATAGTTAATCGAGAGGCTCTTTATTCTATTTTGCTAAAGCCAATCACCCTGTGTTGTTTGCTGGTGCATTGATATTCAAAGTAAAATACATGATTCAGATATTGAACAATATCTACTAACTACTTACTACAAAAATATATAATTACCAAAAATACTTATAGAAGACATGTGGGCACTGGAGTGAAAAACTAATAATTTTTATATTGGGCCTAAATGATGATTATAATGATAATAATAATAAAAAATAATAATATAAGTTTACTTATAGCACAAATCAGCACAAGCTAGCACTAACAACCACACACACACACCCTCATATATACTACAGACAGCAAGGCCTTAAAATATATTGAGCTCAGATATGTTGAAAACAAAGCCTAATAAAACAATAAAACAGCAGAGAGGGCCGGACGAGGACAAGGATGTTTTATGATCAAGGCATTGAAAAATATTTATTTTTTATAAAGTAGTAGAATTTATGTATTGAGGTAACAAGGCAAGCAAGGTATGCAGTGCATAACCTCGCTCAAAAAAAAAAAAAAAATAGTAGCACAGTTTTTCCACTTTATTTAACATTTCTTTGTCAAAATCTTCTATATAAACCTTAATTTTTCAAGTGGATTGCTACAGTTCATTGGTAAAGCAAAGTTTTCCAATATTTGGCCTACTTTGGTATCTAGGATAAGTCACAGTCAGACCTATCGCACTGTACTCTCAGCTGATTAGAATTTCCGCATGGCTGGTTTTCAATATCAGCCAATCACGTATTCAGTGAGTCAGAGCATTCTACAACGCTTAAATTTACTATTGTGACAACCGTGTGGTGGCATCAGAAATCCTAATTTAACACTGGAATGGAAGCGGTGCTTCCAAGAGTATGTGCGCATGCTCTTCTTCTCACAAATCGGGACCTCCACTGAGAAGATACTACAACCATGCAGATATTGAAAATAACATACATTTTATTTTAATATAAAACACAATCCAATTCTGTATAGTAGCTTACAAACTTTTCCTACTAGCAGTCCCAAGCATCAGCTCTTATACACATCTAGATGTGTATAAGATACAGCTCACTACCATCATACATAAAACAATCAACATCACTCAATGTATTTAAAATAAAATTAAAGCATCACCTTGATAAAAAATTCTCTAATATTGCACATAGTCTATAACTTGTATATGCTGTAGCTTGGGTAAACGATGTTGGTGGGTCTTCATTTTTCATTAATTGTTTTATCTTGTACATCATATACTACTTCTTTCGTCTGTCTCCATTTTTGTTTCTATATGATATTTTAGGACCACGTTGGAAACACTGGTTCTTCTCAAATTTCACGGGTTATCCTGGCATTAATATCTGTTTTCGTTTGTTAATATAAATTTTTTAAAGTGGTATATGATGTTCAAGGTAACTCAAATTTATTTTTGATAAATGAATATTTTATAACTTCTTGTTTGTTTTCTGAATTTGTGGTTTTCATTATTTTTTTAATGACATTTTTCACTATTGTGTTCTTGTATTTTGATATATTTTTATACTTCTATATATTTTAATGTAATGCTGAACGAAATGAAAAGATATGCCAAATACCTAGCATACCACGCAGTTTACCCGACGGTCTGCCACATGATTGTAATAGGATTTTAACTGTACACATACATGAATATATCAATACAGAAATCAATACCATAGTCAACTGCACAAAAATGCTGCCACCTATTGTGTCATATAGAACAGTAACTGGAAAAACCCAACATTGTTGTGAGAGATATTAGAAACACTGCTATGGCAATTTGTCAGCAATAAACTAGGAATTGAAAGGTAATAAGAATTCAATAATTAGTGTTATTATATAATTTGTATCTATAATATCAAGAGGACTAGTATAGATAATGATAAAGTAAATAATTATAGTCAAAATTTTCAAAAAAATTAATCAAAAAAATCTTCTTTCTAGATCAGAGTTCTGCACAATACACACCTACTGACTGGTATTAAAATCCCAAAATCTAAAAGTAAACAGACAAGGGAACTGGGTATTGGTAATGCACTTATGAATTGTAGTCCCCTTAACACCCCAAAAAGGTTACATGTACAGTATGTCAAAGTCCCAGCCTAAGCTAAGTAGCCAAGTCCAGTGGCGGGGCAGGGGGCTTAAGTCTCCCAGCGGACAGGTCAAGCCCCCCCTCGCCGGACAGAGCTTGTCGGGTAGTCAAAACATAAAACATATAAAAATAAGCCCACACCAAGCCAACACGTCTGTCACTGTCCGAGAGTGCCATTTTCGGCCATCCAGAGGTTATCCTTTAAAAAAAATCTCATTCGGGAGGGAGAACACCCTCTCAACCCCTTGTCCCCCTGTCGGACAACTTAGCCCCCCTAGAAAAAATATCCTAGAGCCGCCACTGGTTAAGTCCCTGCCCTATCCCATATCATCAAAGCTTAATTTTCCATGGGATTTTAGCCAAGTTTTTTGCTAAACTAAGTGTCAAACCTACAGTAGAGATCGCAAGCGGACAAAACTGCGGTCTTATTCGCCATCGGGAACTAGAACAATTTTAATGTAATTAGGTTACATGGCATAAAAGCTAAAACAACCCCAAAATGCCCTGTTTTCTTGGCCCAGTGCGGCATAGCCTCCTTAAATCAGCGCATTTGTGTTTGAACATACCAGGTACCCACATGTACTCCTGGGTGGAGAGAGGCAACTGTAGATAAAGTGCCTTGCCCAAGGACACATGTGGTTAGCACCGCAAGAGTTTCGAAACCCCCGACCTTTAGGTTGGGAGTCCAAGCCACAACCGATGCGCCAACCGATTCTACCAAATAAAACCTTAGCCTCAACCATAATTGTGGGTCTGTGATGTTACCCTCCATTCTGTGGCCCTCTATTTTGTGTTGCTCCTGTGTATTATTTTAACAAAAAATTCAATGTGGCAGGTCTTATCATTATCACCGCATCGTTATTATCATCACCATCAGTATAATCACCAACATCATCACCATTATCACCATCATCCTCATCCCCACAATTATCACTATCACCATAACCACTATCGCTGCAGCCACCATCACTATCACCATCTTCACCATCATCACCATCGACATTATCATCATCATCACTAACCACCATTATCATCACCAATGTCACCACCATCACAATTATTATTCAATATTTTTTTGTCAAGTGCCGTAAATAGGACTTGCAGCATGCACTGCTACTGAGGGACCACACAGAGCCCAGTGAAATTATATTAATTTAAATTATTAATGATTTACAGGGTTACCAAGATGGTGACAAGTTAATCAGTTTTTGGAAGACATTGATGAGAAAGTCCTAACCCTGTCTCTTATACACATCTAGATGTGTATAAGAGACAGTATTCTAAGTCGTCATCGGTCACGTGATTAAGCTTTTTTAGATTAATTTTATTAGCGTGGGTCAGTGGTGTCCTGGTTATGTACAGGAGATGACGTGTATTTGCCGACCACTCATTTGAATTTTAGATCATTCATTTACAGAGTTAAGATAATGCACATTGAGATATCCAGATGATTGCTAATCAGTTACATTGGATTGATGTTGCGCCATAGCTTTTGTAAGTTAAAATTGTATTTGGAGATAGAGAAGTTGACATTACTCTTATTCATGTTGTTTTATTTATGATGGTGTGATATATTCACATATAGAATCGTTTGTTTATTAAGACTAAGCTACTATGTTGATTGATAATGTTCTATCATTGTAGTAATGTTAATAATAGTTGATTGCTATATTCCATGCCGGTGTATTTATGATTCATATTATAGAATACAATATGAAATACTTCATAATGTGCATTAGTTCATTTTGGTATCCTTTTACACTGTTATTTCTGATATGCATTTTTTTATTCTTATTTTTATTACGGTCTTATTTTTATTATTATCTTTCTGTTTAGTCACCAGACAGTCGAACAGACAGTCAGAGAGACAAAGGAGTGCAATAAAGTTATTTACATGTTCATACGTACGCAGTTGTCGCTGGTGTTTGTTATTGTCTGAGTTGGGAACTTTGGCGCCCTCAACCACGAAATAAGTTGATCCCGTGAGGTCGACTACAGTGAAAAAGCTTAAGCAGATTATAAGTTGCAATCATGGAGGAACTAGCGGCGAAGATGAAGGAACTGAAAATTCTTCGTAGGAACAAGAAAGCGATGTTGACTCGGTATTTGAATATGCTAAATGCTACTCTAAAAGAAGAGGAAGTAGACGTTGACAGTGTATCAGAACTCGTGAAAAAATCTGAAGAAGCGTTCGAGCATGTGGAAGTAGCTCACCAAAGAGTAGGGGAACTGCTCGACGACGAATCCTTTGATGCGGAGGAAGCTTGGATGGAATCTTGCCAGGAAGTATTCTGGAGGACAAGGTCAGCAGCAAGAAAGTGAGTCGCTAAAGAGAAACAAGCTGAGGTAACAAGTGCTGTAAGCACGAATAGTGTAAGCACAACTAGTCAAGGTGGCTTAAATGAATTAAAATTAGCCCTAGAACTGCCGAAGGCAGAAGTTTTAGAATTTGATGGCAATCCAGTCAATTACTGGACGTTTATCACTAATTTCAAAACTAATGTTGCTGCTAAGCTGTCTAGTGACAGTACGAGATTGCAGTATTTACTGCAGCTTTGTAAGGGCAAGGCCCGAATTTGTATTGAGAGTTGTCCTCTTATGGATGACGGAGGTTACAATAAGGCATTAGATATTCTTAAGAAACAATTTGGGCAACCACATATCATATTAAATGCTCTTATGAATGAAATGCTTAAGAGAAAGCAAATTAATGTAGGGGATGGAGAGGCACTTTGGTCTCTTGTTAGTGCTATGAAAAAGTGTGATGTGACACTAAATCAGATTGGTTACACTAGCGATCTGAACAGTACGAATAATCTGTTAAAGATCCAGGCCTTGCTGCCTACAGTAATACAGAACAAATGGGCTAACAAAGCACATGAAATTTTGGAGGATAGAGAACCTACCTTTTCAGACATGTTAAAGTTTATCGAAAAGCAAGCTGAGGTATCTTGCAAAATGTTTGGTAGGCATGTTGGTAGAAATGATAAGAGACAAATTGAGAAACCTAAGGTTTATGCTAATGTTGTTAAAACATCCAAGAGTCCTTCATGTTTCATATGTAATGGTGAACATTGAGTGTTTGTTTGTAAACAATTTTTAGATATGTCGTATGATGACAAGTTGAAAAACGTAAAGGATAAACGACTTTGTTTTAAGTGTTTGTTTCCAGGCCATATTTCCTCCAAGTGTCGCAGAGATGTAGTGTGCAGGACCTGTAAATCACGTAAGCACAACGACCTATTACACCCACCTGAAGTTGTTACATCATGTGCAGCGATAAACAGTCGAAACGTCTACTTGATGACTCTGCCAGTAGAGATCGTAGCAGCTAATGGCCACAGAATCAGGACTAGGGCATTGTTAGACAATGGCTCAGACTCCAGTTTATGCACCGAATCGCTGAGGAGAAAACTTGGTGTTGTGGGAAGGAAGGTGAAGTACACAGCCTCGACCATAAATGGAGAGGAAGACAAGATTGGATACTCTTTCGACCTAAATGTTAGTAGTCCTGAAGAAACAAGTAGGATTTCAGTTAAGTTTCTTTCTGTAGATGTTGTACCAGACTGTAAAGATGCGTTCCCAACCAAAGAAGAACTGGAAACATGGGATCATCTGAGAGACTTACCTTTATGTCACAATCAAAACTCCAGTGTAGAGCTACTCATAGGTGCCGATACACCAGAGGCATCTTGGGTGCTCGAAGAAAGACGAGGCAAATCAAAGGAGCCATATGCAGTAAAGACTCCTCTAGGATAGTGTGCTATGGGCCCAGGAGTTGCAACTAAGAAGAAAATAACATCTAATCGAATCACATGCACCAATGAACAACTGATGGAACAACTTCAGCGAACTTGGTCTTTGGAAAATTCTAATACTGATATAGAAGAAGATTCTATAGAGGATAGGAGAGCTAGAAGTGTACTGGCGAAAACTACGAAACAACTGAGTTCCAAACACTACGAGATAGGGCTCCTATGGAAATATGATGACCATTCGTTACCTTGCAACAGGCCTATGGTGGAAAGCAGACTGGCTTCACTTAAACGCAAACTCAGTGGTGACAGGGATTTGAAGGAGAAATATGTCGAAACAGTTGAATCGTACATCTCCAATGGTTATGCTGAACCTGCTGAAGACAAACAAGGACAAGATGCTTGGTATTTGCCTCATCATCCCGTGATAAATCCACACAAAGCAGGAAATGTCAGAATAGTCTTTGACTGTGCTGCGAAATGGAGAGGGACGTCATTAAACGATAACCTGATTAAGGGTCCAGAAATGACCAGCAACTTAGTGCAGGTATTATTACGATTTCGACAGGAACGAATTGCCCTGGTTGCGGACGTTGAAAGTATGTTTCACCAAGTACAAGTCAGGCCAGAGGATAGAGATAACTTAAGGTTCTTATGGTGGAAGAACGGCGACATCAGCAAAGCCCCTAGCGATTACAGGATGACTGTTCACTTATTCGGAGCGACCTCATCTCCTTGCTGCGCTGGTTACGCGTTACGTCGCACCGCCGATGATCAAGAACTTAAAAACTTAGATGTAATTGGTAAGCGAGCAATTGATGTCATTCGTAATGGCTTTTACGTTGAAGACTGCCTTACTTCAGTCGGGACAACTGAAGAGGCTATAGAGTTGGCACATCGATTGCGAAACATCCTGCAAAATGGTGGTTTTCGTTTAACCAAATGGGTGAGTAGTGATCGTAGTGTTCTTGACTCAATTCCAGAAACTGAAAGAGCCCCATCTGTTCCTGTTAATTTAGATCACCTACCAACCGAGAGAACGTTGGGTGTTAGTTGGGATGCGGAGACAGATATGTTTAAGTTTGAGGTTGAGCTAAAGGAGAAGCCATGTACAAGAAGAGGTATTTTGTCTGTAACCAGTTCTATTTACGACCCCCTCGGATTTGCGGCTCCATTTGTCTTGTTCGCGAAGTCATTGTTACAGACTGTATGCAGGAGAAGCTCCGAGTGGGATGATCAGCTACAACCGCAGGAAATACAGGTATGGAATCAGTGGACCTCTTCTATCACTGACTTACATAAAGTTAAAGTTCCACGTTGGCTGAAGTAAGAGAATGCTGTTAACATTCAGTTACACATATTCTGCGATGCTTCGGAAAAGGGTTACGCCGCAGCAGCCTATGTTAGAACTATCTCAGACACCAATACTGTTAATGTTAGCTTTACCATGGGGAAAGCAAAGGTAACGCCATTGAAGAAAGTTTCAATTCCCAGATTAGAGCTGTTAGCTGCAGTTTTGGCAGTAAAATTAGACAGTATCGTTAGACGTGAGACCACTCCTCGGTTTAAGATCGCCGAGACCACCTTCTGGAGTGATTCCATGATTGTGTTGGGGTATATTACCAATGAGACGAAGAGATTTAAAACCTTCGTTGCAAACCGAGTCACGAAAATCAGAGAAGCTTCTAAACCACACCAATGGAGACATGTGAGGAGCGAAGATAATCCCGCAGACGAAGGGTCTAGAGGAACCCTACAGATGAGAAAATGGGTAACAGGTCCAGGCTTCTTGTTAGATTCCGAAGAAAGGTGGCCAAGAAACCCTATCTTAGATATGAACTTAGCTGGCGATCCAGAAGTTAAGCTGTCTGTCTTCACCCATACAACCAAGGAAAAACCCAAAAATGATGTTCTGGAAGCACTATCATCGAAAATTTCGACATGGACAAGACTACTCAGGGTGTATGCATGGGTGCTGCGTTTTGCTAAGAACCTACTTTCTGAGGCTAGGCGAGTTAAGAGTAGCAGTCTCTCTGTGAGTGGGATTAGAGCAAGTGAATCCAAAATCCTTAATTGGTTGCAGCGGACCGAACTGTCTAATTGGAAAACTAACAAGAGCCTCACCAAACTTAGTCCTGTTCTGATGACAGATTTATTAAGAGTAGGGGGAAGAGTAAATCAAGCCCAAGTTTCAGAAGAGAAGAAGCATCCAGTGATACTGCCAGCAAGAACGAACATCACCAAACTCATAATCCGACATCACCATGAGGCAGTGGGTCATAGCGGTTGGGCATCAACCCTCAACTCAATTAGAGAACGCCGCTGGTTGATCAATGGTCGTTCTGCTGTCAGAAGTGCAACTAGAAATAGTGTAGTTTGCAAAAAATATCAGGCAAAACCAGTTCAGCAGATTATGGCTGACTTACCAGCAGACCGAATTACCGATAATAAGCCGCCCTTCACGTTTGTAGGTATCGACTACTTCGGACCGATCGATGTAAAACAAGGGAGAAGTCGAGTTAAAAGGTACGGGTGTATCTTCACTTGTTTAGTTAGCAGAGCCGTACACCTGGAGCTTGCCAAAGGGCTTGATGCAGACTCGTTTATCAATGCGTTACGCAGATTTTTAGCTAGGAGAGGTCAGCCTGAGAGAATATATAGTGACAACGGTACGAACTTTCATGGTGGAGAGAGAGATTTAGCCGAAGCTATCAAGTCATTTAACAACAATCAGATTGAGACTTTCTGCCATACCAAGATGTTTGAGTGGCACTTCAATCCACCCAATGCAAGTCACTTTGGAGGTGCCTGGGAGAGATTAATAAAATCAGTCCGCAGAATTTTGTACGGTGTATTGAGGCAGCAAACAGTTTGTGAGGATGTTTTGTCCACTGTCTTGACTGAAGTTGAGTCGATTCTTAATTCCAGGCCACTAACAAGCATCTCACAAGATATAAGAGACGAACAACCTTTAACTCCTACCCATTTGTTACTGCTCAGACAGGGTCCTGACGCTCCTTTAGGTAATCGTGTAGACAAATCAGCATCCTATGGGAAGAAGAGATGGTTGCAGGTCCGGTACCTGGCTTCCTTATTTTGGACGTGTTGGCGTAAAGAGTATTTACCACTTCTACAGCAACGGAATAAATGGACTACACCAAAGGAAAACGTTAGGAAAGAAGATCTTGTACTCCTGGTAGATGAGACAACACCTAAGGGAAGATGGCCGATGGGCAAGGTTGTCCAGGTGTATAAAAGCAAAGACGGTCGTGTGCGAAGCGTGGATGTTAAGGTCAACAACAGTGTACTCAAGCGACAAGTTGTTAAAATTTGTATCGTGTATCGATCATCTATAGCTAATCTTTAGTGTAAAATTCCCTTAGAATTTTACAGGGGGGTGTGTAAAAAGGTCCCAAAACCTATTGTAGGGGGTGATATTGTTGAGGGCGATATATTCTAAGTCGTCATCGGTCACGTGATTAAGCTTTTTTAGATTAATTTTATTAGCGTGGGTCAGTGGAGTCCTGGTTATGTACAGGAGATGACGTGTATTTGCCGACCACTCATTTGAATTTTAGGTCATGTGAATTTTTGGTATGTTTTATATTTTCTTCATAGTTTATACTTTGTTATTATTAATAAGTACATTTTGATGATTAACTTGATTATCGTCGATTAGTTTCACTTTATTATGAGTATTAAAATTCAATTAATAGTGCTATATTTTCTAGAGTTACTGCTTGGAACGTTGTTAAAATTATATCGTTCTGTACAGTATTATGGCTTTCTAAATAGTTGATAATTTGATGAATCTACCATGAAGAAACAGTAAAATTGTTAAAGTACTCATTGTTTGTGATAATTTAGTTCTATTGTATGTTATTTCTTTGTTGTTTTATGATAAGTTTAAAGGTCTTACGTTGAGAGTAAACGTTACCGAGGCACGCAATTATAACATACCTAACGCCAATACAATGTCTATTATATGGTTATACATTATTTGGTCATAAATTTATTTACAGAGTTAAGATAATGTACATTGAGATATCCTGATGATTGCTAATCAGTTACATTGGATTGATGTTGCGCCATAGCTTTTGTAAGTTAAAATTGTATTTGGAGATAGAGAAGTTGACATTACTCTTATTCATGTTGTTTTATTTATGATGGTGTGATATATTCACATATAGAATCGTTTGTTTATTAAGACTAAGCTACTATGTTGATTGATAATGTTCTATCATTGTAGTAATGTTAATAATAGTTGATTGCTATATTCCATGCTGGTGTATTTATGATTCATATTATAGAATACAATATGAAATACTTCATAATGTGCATTAGTTCATTTTGGTATCCTTTTACATTATTATTTCTGATATGCATTTTTTATTCTTATTTTTATTACGGTCTTATTTTTATTATTATCTTTCTGTTTAGTCACCAGACAGTCGAACAGACAGTCAGAGAGACAAAGGAGTGTAATAAAGTTATTTACATGTTGATACGTACGCAGTTGTCGCTGGTGTTGGTTATTGTCTGAGTTGGGAACGTTGGCACCCTCAACCACGAAATAAGTTGATCCTGTGAGGTCGACTACAGCATGTTTAGTACTTATAATTTCTACAGTATGTTCCTAATAAAGTATTGCGTCAACGAATAGTGAAGCTATAAATGTCATGGCCTTTCATAATTGGCTCTGATGAACAGCGAGGGTAAACTGTGTTGTTTCAGTGTTTGGGATTTCCCAAAGCTTTGTGCAGGGGCTGGTTTCCTGAGGCCTCTGAACTTTTATACGCCGTAGTCCCTATTCATGTTATTTTGACATAATCTGGTGTGAAGATGTGTTAATAATTTAATATGACTATAAATATTAACTTATAGGCTATTCCATTTTACAAAAAGGGTACATGAGAGATGAAGTATAGCATTATGGTTAATGTTTACTACTAAAATATTATTTCTCACATTAAAAATTTCATTAACATAAAAAAAAAATTTGAACCTAATTTGTTTGGATAAACAGTAAGTTGTAGTTCATCAAGTGACATTGTAGCCCAACCTATGACAGAATTACATGACTAAGAATGGGAAAAACCAACTGTAATTGGTGAGGTAAACAAGCTCATTATTGCAGCAGCATTGTAAGCACTTAAACACAGGAATTTAAAGGTAATAAGCATTTAATTAAACATTTTAATATAGAATCTATAATTTAGATATTTTCAAGAGGTCTATTGTAGTATCACAATAGTAGTGGAGATTCTATACTTTTGTAGGGGGAAATCACTTTGAATTGGCCCACTAAGGCTGGCGGCCGCATAGGGCCCCAGTTAAGACGATATGCTGGCAAAGCCCCAGAGTTGGGGCCAGGGCACAAGCCCACAGCGCTTGCGCATTCTAGCGTCTTTTATGACCAATTTACAGATTTCTGATGAGGAAATTACACAAAATAATGCTGTACAAATTTTGAAAAAATTACATTTCAAATGGATTGTCAACCCAAGAATTGATTATTAATAATGAGACTCCCTAGCCCTGGAGACAACATTGGAGACTATTAACAGGAGTGCTTGAATGTTGATCAATATAGCGGCCTGTTATTTGTCAGTATATCGGCTCAATGTAAGTTTTAAACTCATTCTGGCAGATATAACGTGGATTGTGGATCTCTCACAAATATTTTTAAAGTGAAATATGAATACTGTATGTTTCTGTGAATTACACATTTTTTTTATAAGAACCAGTAAAATTTTGCCCAGGCTCAGTGTTCTTATTGTTTGGCCGATTTCAGACTCAAAACTGTTTTTATTTCTACGCAATTTTTAAACTCAGAACATTATTATTGTACAGCAGTACGATATTATGAATAAATTTCGGAATGAACTCATATGATTTCTAAATCTAGTTTTTAACTGATTTTCAGTTAAGCCTATGTATCTCTCGTGCTTGTTACTGTCCTCTCTTGTTACAGTTGCTTGGTATACTATGCCTTCGGTTAAACACTTGCCGGCAAGTTCATACATAGACTACAAGTACATGATATAGTCACTCGTTTAGACCTAGCCTAGGCTAGACCTCGGCTATGCCTACTATATTATTTAAATATACAATTTTAATTGATAAGATTAATTTTACATGATATAGTAATTCATACCTAAAATATACATTAAGTTTAAATATAAATACTGTATAATGACATAACAAATAAATAACAATAATTTAAACGTGTACATAGTATCTATCACTACTACAATAATAAGATTAATATTTTTAAATCTTATAATCAATTTTATATAGCCGGAGTTAGTTTCGATCTGGGCAAAACCTTTGCTATAGGTACACTTTCTCCATCAAAAGGCTTCTTCTATGAATGGAATGACCTGTTCGAAGCACAAACTCCTGTAGACCAAACCCAGTACCGTTATGATTTTTAATCGTACGGGAAATCCACTCACAAAGAATACTATAGCCAGGAGTGCAGACATTACTTGTGCTCTTCTTGTTACAGACAATCATAAAATATTACCAATTGTGGCAAATCACAATTAAGCTATATAGAGTGGAGGATGTGCGCTCAATGACTCCTCAGAACTTCACTTTATTAAATCCTCCACTGTGTTTATGTCACTCTAAACCTTTAGATTTGTATTGTCAAGATAAACTCCAATATGCATTTATTGCACATTTATAGAACACAAGGGGTGGAGAAGGAAGCACAAACCAATCAGCATATCAGATGCATTCCAAACATTTAAAGAAACTTCTGTAATATTGGAGGAAGCTGCCCATGACTACAAAAACAAGATACAAGAAGGCCTTAAAGCAGTTATTCAAACTGCTACAATGTTAAAAGCAAGTATAGAGATACAAGTTTGCAAGATATTGACAGTACTGTACAGGAAATTATTAAAACAATCATGAATAAAGGAAATGAAATGAAATATTATGTAGAGATAATCTACAAAAGGAAAAAGCAAGCAAATGATGTACAAATGGACGAATTGAAAACAATTATATCTGAAGTAAACACAAAATTGAGTTTTCTTAAGCAATTATTAAAGAGTGACACAATGTCAAGTAATTGAATTGCCAAAATAATTAAAGCAGATAGATGTATTATTGATAAAAAAAAAAACCAACTGGAGGCAACATGGACACATCCTACAGGAGAAATCAACAACACTCAAGTCAATGAAGATGACAATGTTGTGACAGAAAAATGCACAAGTCTAGGTGTTGCAGACTAGATGTGAGTGTTGATGATGAACCAATCAAGCAGTCACCAACGATAATCAATGTAGAATAAGAAGGAGTAGTAAATACCATTATTGGGTCTGTGCATGACGCTGACTCCAGAGCCTCACTGCTGTTCTTGCTCTTACCACAACTTTAAAAGCATCCAGTGTCGCCAGTTTTGAACATACGTGCAGGAAATTTTGTACACATAAACTAGAGGTGATTTGCAACAAACGTTCATCGCCCCTTTTTTATGTTGGATCCAGGGTTCCTCCTACACTCACAAAAATACAGCGGTTTCCACAAGGACTGTACATTACTGCCATTACCACTAATAGGGCTCGTCGCATGTATGGTGCAGTCGTTTATAGATGTGTTCTAAAGAACTTAAGTTTGTGAGTTTGAATCGCATCTTGGTATTCAATTTTAATTTTACAAATGTTGTGGTATATTGTTGTTCATGAGACTCAATTAGCAGAAAAAATAAATAAATAAATGTTCTGTATCTACTCAAATGTTCATTTTGTGCACCTTAGTCTAACATTGTGAAAATGACAGTTTAATGTTATATAAGGAAATGAAATTTTATAAAAATCGTAAATTTTCAATTGCTATAAATTTTCATTTTGATGGTCAATTTTCACGAATCAAATTGTAGTTTATAGAAGCATTTAACAAGCTTGTGTTCAAAAGAAATCAGATGTAACAGACATTTCAAAGTACCCAAAATTATAATAAACACCATAAAACATATGGCACGCATAGACTAATAACAACTAGTATCGGATTGTCGATGCCACAGTAAAGATCAAATGACTATTCGCACACGATATGTTCAAGAGCGGAAATGGGCGTCCTTTTGTTGAATTGCCTTGCTGTGGCCTAGTTAAGTGTGAAAATGATTGCCTAATGGTTGCACCTCAAACAAATGCAGGCACTAACAAATAACTGAATAAACCAGAGCCTTGCAGGCGTCAACTTTCCTATGCATGATACATGACTTAAAAATTATATATAGGCCCTACAGTATTTCAGTGTATGCTATTATTTGTTTCTAGCCGTACTTATTGTGTAATGGAGTGTATCTGGTGGTATTTGAATCTGTTTAACCATGAAGCCTCCATGGTCTAATGGTTATGACGCTCGCCTTGACAGCGAGAGGTCGCAGGTTCGAGTCCCGCCGGAGGCATTTTATTACACAATTTCTTTATTCATTTATTTACAGGACTACATTCGTTGCGAGCTATGCTACACGATGTATTATTGTCCTTTATTCGAACACCGTATTTACCTTTCTTTGATGATTTATGTATATAATTTAACAGTGTTAACGGCTACCTTGATTTATATACGTGTTAAATCTAAAAATATCTCATCAATGAAACTTTGTAAACATAGAAATTATGATATGCCTTTCCTGAGAACTGAACGTTTTAAAAATAGCCCCATCCCATATCTTATGAAATTAATTGAAGATGGTTTGGGTTCACTTTTTGTATTGTCTTTAAAATAGCCCCATCACTTATCAAATGGAATTAATTGAAAAATTCAAATTGTACAATTTTAACGTAGTGAACTTTTGAACCGATGGTTTGGGTTTGCTTTTGTATTGTTTTAATGTGATGTTTTTGCTTTTTCTCGTTCTTGTTTTCCTTTTGTACAAAATACGCCAAGTTAGCTTTTTGCTACTAATGTATTTTTTATGAAGGAGATTTTTGAATAAGATACCGATTATATATATGAATGATGGTCAGTTCCGTTATGCTATTATAACTGAATGTAATGTTTTTTTCGCACCATATTCCTAGGTTGAGGTAAAGAAGACCACACATTTTAAGGGGGCTTGCGTAATTTCAACATCAAGTTAAAATATAGTTTGCATTTCAATGTAGAGTCAACGTTGAAAATGTCTTACGTTTTTCAACCAAACTCCTATTGTGTATTTAAAAGTTTTTTCAACGTTAAATACACGTTGCAAATATGTTGAGATTTTAAAGTTACAGTATCAACATAAGTTCAATGTTTTTTCAATGTGAAGTTAAAATATAGTTTTTTATATAACTTTATTTCAACATTGAATTCACTTTGAAATCTGGTTGAGATTTTAACATAACAATTACAATGTTTATTTAACATTTTTCCAACGTTAACTCTAAACATAATTTTTATTTCAATGTAGAATCAACATTGAAAATGTGTTGTGTATTTTTTTAAATGTATCCACTACATGCTTAACGTTATTTCAACATTAAATAAATGTTGAAAAATGGTTTAGATATTGAAAATACATTAACAACATTAGTTCAACATCTTTTTAATGGTTAAAATATAGTTTGTATTTTAACAATCAATGTTTAAACTATGTTATGTTTTTCTGCCAAAAAACCATAGTTTATTCAAAGTTTTTTCTACGTTAAAAATATGTTGAGATTTTAATGTTATAGTAACAACGTAAGTTCAACATTTTTACAACATCAAGTTAAATTATAGCTTGCATTTTAATGTGGAATCAATGTTGAAAAAGTGATATGTTTTTCAACCACAATCCTATTGTTTATTGAACATTTTTTTAATGTTAAATAAACATTGCAAATATGTTGAGATTTTAAAGTTACAGTATCAACATAAGTTAAATGTTTTTTCAGTGTCATGTTAAAATATATATTATTTACTCAACTTTAATTCAACACTGAATTCACTATGAAATCTGGTTGAAATTTTAACATAACAATACAATGTTAAGTCTAAATATAATTGTTATTTCAATGTAGAATCAACGTTGAAAATGTGTTGGTTTTTTTAACAATATATCCATTAACTTAAAGTTATTTCAACAATAACATTGAAAACTGGTTTGGATATTAAAATTACAGTAACAACATTAGTTCAACATCTTTTCAATGTAATGTTAAAATATAGTTTGTATTTTAATGTATAATCAACGTTTTTTCAATTAAAACCTTGTTTATTCAACATTATTTAACGTTAAATAAACGTTGGAAATATGTTGAGATAGGCTAAATTTACAGTAACTATATTAAGTCCAAAATCTTTTCAACGTCAACGTAAAATTGCATTTCAATGTAGAATCAACGTTAAAAATGTGTTATGTTTTTCAACCAAAGACCTATTGTTTATTTAACGTTTTCTCAACGTTAAACAAATGTTGAAAATATATAGTTTTTTGCTCAACTTTATTTTAACATTAAATTCACTTTGATATCTGGTTGACATTTTAATATAACTATTGCATTGTTTATTCAACATTTTTCCAACGCTAAATTTAAATATAGGCCTAGCCTTTATTTCAATGTTAATCATCGTTGAAAACGTGTTGTGTTTCTACAAAGCACCCATTATTTACTCACCGTTGTTTCAACAATAAATAAATGTTGAAAACTGGTTGAGATAATAAAATTTCAGTAACAACATTAGTTCAACATCTTTTCAATGTCAAGTTACAATATATATATATATATATATATTTTTTTTAAACGTATAAGCAACATTTGAAATAAGTTGTGTTTTCAACCCGGAGTTTAAGATTTTACCAAATTTTATTTCAACAATAAATTCATTTTGAAATCGGGTTGCGATTTTAACATAACAATTGCAATATAGGCCTATATTTATTCAATATTTTTCCAACGTTAACTTTAAATATAGTTTTTATTTCAATGTAGAATCAACATTGAAAATCTGTTATGTGTTTCTACAAAGTAGGCCTACCCATTATTTACTCAACATTATTTCAACAATAAAAACGTTGAAAACTGGTTGAGATATTAAAATCGCAGAATAACATAAATTTCAACATCTTTTCAATGTCAAATTAAAATGTAGTTTGTATTTTAACGTATAATCAACATTTAGAATGGTTTTTTTTTCAACCAAGTTTAAATTTCTTTAACTCAACCTCAACTTGGTATGAAATTTCATAGAAATAATTGTACAAGATTTATTAAAGTTTACCTCCATGGTGGGGTATAAAAAAACTCATAGGCTTATTATGAGAGCATATTATGATCTTTAATCATTATGGTAATTACATTGGTTCTCTGTCCTTGAAAGTGTGGCAAGTAATGGGCTATTCGGATTAGGTCATTAGGTACAGACCAATCAGAAACAAATGCTCATTTTTTGAAGTATCAGTTGCTGTAAAGCTGTCTTCATACAAAGTTTACATACTAAAGAATTTCAGCATTATCAAATACAGTAAATGGTAGGAACTTTATATTTGTATGCTATATTATAGGGTGTATCTAAACTAGCCCAATATCGTAACTGTATAGGCTTGCTTTATATATATTATGTGGTTATCTTTTGTTCTAGCTAAGATACGCCAGCCAGTCCTCTGGCCCTAGCTAGTAGAAGAGACTAGGCCTAGACTAGAGTACTGTAGGGTAGTGTAAAGAATTAGTTGGCATAATTTTACTTGTTCGGGCTACACTGCAAGTTGGATGTGTGGGCTAAGTTTAAATTATTAGCGGTAATTTTTAATCGCCTAGGCCTACACCTTTCTTTGCAAAATGGCCACGTCCTGTGTTGAAATGCTATAATAGGTCTATATTAAACTAAATATAATGTTAAAATGTGGTTGCATGGACAAAGCGCAAAAATAAAACAGCTAGGCCTATTATGTGTGTTTAATAATTCATCTCATATCATGGGCCTACATACTGCCAGTGGTATAATAGCCACATCACTGTCATGTCATCAGTAGTCATTTTTTTTTTAAGATGTTAATAATGTAAATTTTTATATTTTCTTTCAATAAAGAGAAAAATTAACAATAGGCCTATATCTTTTGATAACATTTGAGGCTATGGTTAGGCCTAGTGTAATGAATAATAGAAATATAAAAATAGATATGGGATAATTTTAGTTGTGTGCATAGGCCTAACTATAAATAATATGGTATTTCTTTCAGGTTTTCAATCCATTGACAGGAAGCCATGTTTGTTGCAATATATTGTTTGTGGTAGACACCGTGAAAACACCGACTATTGAGTGTATTTATTTGTCTCTTGGTACAAAACTGATGGAAGAGCAGCCATGATGAAGCAGTAAAGGTATATAATTTTTATTGTTAAATTTTGCAAGAATATACTGCACCTTTGCTAATACCACTATCCCACAGCAATAAGTGACTACACTACTGTGTCACAGTAATAACCATTTGTTTCTTGATTAAAGTCTTGGGTACCTAAGAAGTCATACAAACAGTAAACACATTTGTCTTAATCGTCGTTTTACGATTATTATAGTCGTACAAAGGCGATTATTAAGTTTACATTAATTGGGGACAGTCAAATCGTAAATATTATCTTAAAATGCTTAATATTCTTCAACGATAAATGGCACCTAACTTCGTAGTATGATGCTGTCTGAGTTGCCCTTAAAGAAAAATATATTTAAATCTTTGAAAAAAAAAACACATTCTATTATTGAAAGATGTGCCTTAACGTTTTTTTCAAACTTACTTTTGTTCTCCATCCACACATGTTGTTTGGTGTTGTTCCTAATTATATAGCAAAATATTAAATTGTTTTAGTTTAAGCCCATTATTGACCTAGGCAGTTAATGTACTCTATTACACAACATTCAATTTAATAAATTTGCATATCAAAAGTAATAAAACTGAATGAATATATGTTTCAGGTTAAGTGCCACTCTCTGTAGAGAAATCTCTAACTGTCCATGTTTGCAGTACTGTAGTTCATAGTGAATATTTTTCAGTATTTGCATCATTATTAGTAATGCTTGCAGTATATCAATGTAGATTGCTCTGGAAAGAACAGTTGTTTCAACTATCTACATGATATTCAAGTACAGTATTTACATTTTTAAAATTTACCATATAATTATACCATACAAACTTTAAAATAATATTTCAGTCTTCTTTGTTTCAAATATTTTTGTTTTGTTTTTATCTTTCACAAAGGTTCTTGGATACCTTGCTTCAATACCTCTGGTCGGACAAGAAAAGACTTGGCTATGGAGTAGAGCTTCAAATAATTTATCACCAAGAATGTTACTGATTTAAACCGAATCCTTTAACGCAAAAGGTTCTTAATTAAGCTAAGTGTGCAATAGTAGCTGTTGTTATATTACAAAAACTCTGATTAAAACATGCCTGTATGCATAACATTTTATGTTTTTTGCAAGTTTCAATTAAAGAAAAATGGTCAAGTATATTTTGAACTCAGTGTATTTTGTAAGTTTAAAGGATTAAACATTGACATTGACTCAACATTGAACATTTTACATTGAATTAACATTGAACATACTACTTTGAATCGACGTTGAAATTTACGTTGATGAAAACTTTCATTTACAACCAAAATTCAACGTTGATTCAACATTGATCGTTTGACGTTATTTTAACGTTAAATAATTGATGTTGAAACAGCTTTAGACATTTTACGTTAAATCAACGTTGAAATTTACGTTGATGAAAACTTTCATATTCAACTAAAACTCAACGCTGATTCAACATTAATCATTTGACGTTGTTTTAACGTTAAACATTGACGTTGAAACAATTTTAGGCATTTGATGTTGAATCAACGTTGAAATTTACGTTGATGAAAACTTTCATATACAACCAAAGTTCAATGTTAATTCAACATTGGTCATTTGACGTTGTTCCAACGTTGAAAAATTAGCATTGAAAGAACCTTAGACATTTTACGTTGAATCAACGTTGAGATTTACGTTGATGCAAACTTTCATATACAACAAAAATTAAACGTAGATTCAATGTTTGCATATTACGTTGAATCAACGTTATTTCAACCAAGTTGTGCCCACTGGGCTGCTACTGAGGGACCACACAGAGCCCAGTGAAATTATATTAATTTAAATTATTAATCATTTACAGGGTCACCAAGATGGCGACAAGTTAATAAGTTTTTGGAAGATATTGATTAGAAAGTCCTAACTTTATTAATTCTACTCCCACAGTTATCCAAACATTACATAATGCTGAGTAAAACTAGGAGCTCTACGGTATATTAACAAAAAGCCCCAGTAATATTATATTAACCATTTAAATTATTACTAATTTACAGAATTATATGAAGATGGCTACAAGTAAATTTAGTCAGTTTCTGGAAGATATTGACGAGAAAGTCTTAGAGTGTGCCATATGCTTGAAGAGACTCCAGAATCCAAAATCTCTCAACTGCCTGCATAGTTTTTGCTTGGCCTGTCTGGAAGACTGGGTTAAGAAGAAGGGTAAGCTGACTTGTCCAACTTGCACAAAATCATTTCCCATTCCAGAAGGCGGGCTTCAGAAACTTCCACCAAACACATTTCTGAATAACTTGTTAGAAACCCTTCAACAATATGATAAACCTGCTTGTGATCACATCACAAAATGTGTTTGTGGAAAAGCAGAAGAATACTACTGCCAGGATTGCAGACATTACTTATGCTCTTCTTGTAGAGATTATCATAAACTGATGCCAATTTCGGCAAATCACAAGCTTCATACAGTGGAGGATGTGCGCTCAATGACGCCACAAGACTTTGCTTTGTTAAATCCTCCACTGTGTTCACTTCACTCTAAACCTTTGGAGTTGTACTGCCAAGATTGTAAAACTCCAATATGCATTCATTGCACATTTATGAACCACAAAGTGTGGGAAGGGAAGCACAAAACAATCAGCGTATCAGATGCATTCCAAACATTTAAAGAAACTTCATCAACATTAGAAAAAGCTGCCCAATGCTGCAAAGATAAGTTAGAAGAAGGCCTTGAAGCAGTTATTCAAACATCTACAAAATTAGACGAAAGTAGAAAGACAAGTTTGCAAGATATTGACAGGCTTGTGCAGGAAATGATTAAAACAATCATGAATAAAGGAGACGAAATGAAAAAAAATGTAGAGATAATCTACAAACTGAAAAAGCAAGTAAATGATGTACAAATGGATGAATTTAAAACAATAATATGTGAAGTAAATACAAAATTAAGTTTTCTTAAACAGTTGTTAAAGAGTGATGAAGCAACAGCGATGCAATCAAGTGAAACATTAATTAAAGTACTGGAGGACAGAGTCAATGAAATGCCCAAAACAGAGCCAAATGATAATGGACAAATTTTATTTTTTGCAAATAAACACCACATTGCTTCTTTGCAGCAATGTGAGATAGGAAATGTAACACAATCAACAATAGATGGTCTTACATTAAAGGGAGTGGAATCTGTGACACAAGGTCAAGAAATTCTTGCCAAAATAATTAAAGCAGATAGATGTAATGTATTAGCAAATCAATTGATGACAACGTGGACACATCCTACAGGAGAAACAAACATCTCTCAAGTTGACGAAGATGACAATGTAGATTATGTTGTGACAGGAAAATGTAACAGTCCAGGTGTTTGTAGACTTGATGTGAGTGTTGATGGCAAACCGATCAAGCAGTCACCAATGATAATCAAAGTAGAACCAGAAGGATTATTTAATACCATTAAATTATTCAAAGACAAGAATAATGAATACAGAAGCCTAGTAAAATATGAAGAGTGCTTGTTGGTTTCATGTCGGACTAATGAAATGCTCAAATATATGCAATCAGGAGAATATATTGGTAAGGTTACACTACCACAAGATGTAAAAATATTTAAAATGTGCAAAATGAAGAATGGTAACATAGCAGTCAGTGACGAAGGCAATGGATGCATCACAATAGTTAAGATGAATGGTGAGGTGATCAAATCGATTGGTCAGAAAATATTGAAGGATCCAGCTGGGATCCATGTGGATGAGGCATCAAATGCTGTGTATGTAGCTGATTGGGAAAATGACTGTGTGTATATATTTGATATTGATAGTGGCCAGCTGATCAGAAAGTTAGAGTCACCAAACAATAAAATAGGAGTCATTGATGTTTCCCTTACAAATCAAGGAAATATTCTTGCATTAGAAAGAAAAAGCAACTCTTGTGACAATGGATTATTACAATTTGATAATGAAGGAAGGTTGATGAAAGTGCTTGTCAAAGGTGACGAGCATGAGGCATGGGGTTTTGAAGAGGTATTAGTTGATGAGGATCACAATATCATTTTAGCAAGTTATGGAAAAATACAGCTTTTCAGTAGTGATGGAAATTTTATCAAAAGAATTGATAAACCAGCAGACAGAATCAAATATCCAAACGGATTATGCTTAATTTCGCAACATCCACAGAGAATTGCGGTGATAAATAATGACACTATAAATTTATATAATTACTGAGGTGTATTCAGTATTGGGTCCAGGAATTTTAAATATGGGGCCCAGGGAGGGACTTTGGATGGAGGGTATATACAACCTTAGTCCCACCATGGTTAAGAGGGGAGGTATACAAAAATATGATTATGGCATCCTGAGTCTTTTATCCCCATTTTTTTAATCTCAAAAAGTTTAGGGAGCAGGGCCTGCGGGGTATGATATGTCGCACCATGGTTGTATGACTTTGACTGACGGATCTGTTTCCTTTATTATATACGGTAGCGTACTTAATTCCTAGGAATCTGTAGCAAATCTTATGGGGAAGAGGCTGATGTAGGGAGAAGAGAAAGGATGTGGTAAGAATGTGAGGGGAACCTATAAGTTTTAAACTACTGGAGCATCACTATTTGCTCAACAAGTTTTTTAGTATGGCAAAGGTACCTATAAAGGGAAGATGCCAGATGGGACCACACATTTGAAAGGGGAGTGGGGGCTTCCTATACTACTGAGAGGGATGATTTTTTTTCTCTATGGTAACACATTGTATTGTAATGGAACAAGGTCTGTGTTGTCATGGAGGGGTGTTATTCAGTAACTATGTCCAGTAAGCCTATATTTTGTGTTCAGGACATTATATTTTTTTTTCATAAGGTATTCATCTCTATTTTGTAATGCCATATGGACATGGTTTAGAAATAACTTTTATTAAGCTTTCAAACTATGGCCAGATTCATTCTAAAGGCACCACGAAGCAGTGCTTGTGCCACACTGTATGGTGACCTTGGATGGCCAAAAATTGAACTTATTCAAAATATTCATAGAATTAACTTTATTGATAGAATATTGAAAATGGGAGATAATCGTTGGCCTAAAAAATGCTATTAAAAATATTGTAAGCTTTTCAGACAATCTAAATACCATTGCTTTTAAAATCAAAGGTTGTATTAAAACAATCTAGAAAAAATGTATACTGATAATATTTTTACACAATAATGTCAACATTGCAAACAGATATTTCACCAAACACCTTTCTGAACAATATGATAAACCCGCTAGAGATCACATCACAAAATGTGTTTGTAGAAAAGCAGAGAATACTACTGCCAGGATTTCCAACATTACTTGTGCTCTTCTTGTAGAGATTATCATAAAGTGATGCCAGTGTTGGCAAATCACAAGCTACATACGGTGGAGAATTTGCGCAAAATGGCCTCAAAGCTGTTATTGGCAATGATACAAAATTTGAAAAAAATGATGGAGCGTGGGTCTATACCACCTCAGCCCCATCATGGTTGGGGCTGAGGTAAGAAATTTGTTGATTTTGGCACCTGTAGATGGCTGGAATAATTTTCTTTTTTTACTTTTCGAAAACAATTATTTCTTTTCTCCATGATTTTATTTAATGAAAATAATGTTGTACTACTGTAGGTCTATGTTATTCATTAAATATGTACAGTATGCCTATATCATGGGCTTGAGATTTTATATTATTTCTTTTCTATAATGCCACATGGACATCGTTCAGAAATAAAAGTTTAATTTTAAACACAGTTACTGAATAACATAGGCCTAGTACAACATTATTTGCATGTCACATTAAAATACAATAATGGAAAAAAGAAATAATTTTTTTCGAAAAGTCAAAAAAGAAATTAAATTTTCACAATTTAATTTTAAATATTTCTTTCACATTAGACAGAAGCAACTTGCCTAGCATAGGATGGAATGATGCTTTGTATATGGTATGTCTATGCGGTTTATTGAGTGGGGCTGTTTTTGGTCATTAGGAACACTCTGCAATGCCAGGGTTCAAACCTACACCTGTTACTTAGTATCCTGGTATGGGAAGGCAAGCATCTTAACTATCAAGCTATTCAGCTCAACCTAATACTTAACTTTATAAAATTGCAGTACTTTAAATACAGATGCTAATAGAATTTAAATAGTATAATAAAATTATACTCGCATGAAATAATAATACCAGTAAAATTACAGTAGTAAAATTACAGTAAAATAGGTTTAGGTAATGTTATAGTCTTACAAAAAATATAATATAGGTTTACATTAACATTAGTAGAATTTATAGTAGACTATATTTGTACTACGCACAGTTGTTTTAAATGACCAAAATATAATTATGATCATTTAAGAATTTTGCTGCATCTATTTAATTCATTTTGTAAGTTGTGAGTTCCTATACAAAGTTGATCAATAAATACAATAAGCAACAATATACTGTCATGGTTTTTCTTAAATTGCCTTTCATAAACCGTTTCATACAGTAGCTGGATATGCAGGGTCAGTCTCTGAACATTTATTATTATAATTAATAATAATAATAATAATAATAATAATAATAATATTAATAATAATAATAATAGTGATAATAATAAGAGTAATTATAAAAAGGATGATGATGATGATTAATTTATTTATTTATTACAAATTTGTCACAAATAAAATATAAATAGAGCTGGAATGTGACTCAACCACTGGATTATGATGATGACGATGATGATAATAATGATGATAATAATTAAGATTACCATAACGAGGATAGGAGGATGATCGTAATGATAATAAAATAATAATAATAATAATAATAATAATAATGTGATAATAATAATAATATGCTGAGGCCTAATAAAAAAAAGGATTAGTTTATCAAATTTATCTAAGGCTACATGGAAAAGTGATAATAGTTAATCGAGAGGCTCTTTATTCTATTTTGCTAAAGCCAATTATCACCCTGTGTTGTTTGCTGGTGCATTGATATTCAAAGTAAAATACATGATTCAGATATTGAACAATATCTACTAACTACTTACTACAAAAATATATAATTCCCAAAAATACTTATAGAAGACATGCGGGCACTGGAGTGAAAAACTAATAATTATTATATTGGGCCTAAATGATGATTATAATGATGATATACTATGGTTATGGTGATGATGATAATAATAATAAAAAAATAATAATATAAGTTTACTTAGCACAAATCAGCACAAGCTAGCACTAACAACCACACACACACACACCCTCATATATACTACAGACAGCAAGGCCTTAAAATATATTGAGCTCAGTTATGTTGGAAATAGAGCCTAATAAAATAATGGAGAGGGGACGAGGACAAGGATGTTTTCTGATCAAGGCATTGAAAAATATTTATTTTTTATAAAGTAGTAGAATTTATGTATTAAGGTAACAAGGCAAGCAAGGTATGCAGTGCATACCCTGGCTCAAAAAAAAAAAAAAAATAGTAGCACAGTTTTTCCACTTTATTTAACATTTCTTTGTCAAAATCTTCTATATAAACCTTAATTTTTCAAGTGGATTGCTACAGTTCATTGGTAAAGCAAAGTTTTCCAATATTTGGCCTACTTTGGTATCTAGGATAAGTCACAGTCGGACCTATTACATCGTACTCTCAGCTGATTAGAATTTCTGCATGGCTGGTTTTCAATATCAGCCAATCACGTATTCAGTGAGTCGGAGCATTCTACAACGCTTAAATTTACTATTGTGAAAACCGTGTGGTGGCGTCAGAATAGCCAATTTAACACTGGAATGGAAGCGGTGCTTCAAAGAGTATGTGCGCATGCTTCTTCTCACAAATCTGGACCTCCACTGAGAAGATACTACAACCACACAGATATTAAAAATAACATGCATTTTATTTTACTGTAAAACGCAATCTGATTCTGTATAGTAGTAGGCTTACAAACTTTTCCTACTAGCAGGCCAAAGCATCAGTGGCGTAGGGGGTCTTGAAATGGAACAAGCTTGGCGATGGGAAATTAAAGTTGGCAGTGGCGGCTCTAGGATATATTTTCTAGGGGGCTAAGTTGTCTGACAAAGGGGACTTGAGCTTGTAGGCTCGAGCTGGGAGAAGGGGTTGGGAGGGGGTTCCCCCTTCCAGATGAGATTGTTTTTAAAGAATATCAACCTCTAGATGGCTGAAAATGGCACTATCAGACTGTGACAGACATGTGTTGGCTTGTTGTGGGCCAATTTTTATATGTTTTATGGTCTGACTGCCCGACGAGCTATGTCCGGGGGGGGCACTTAAGCCCCCCCGCCACCCCGCTGGCGCCGCCACTGAAAGTGGGGGATCGCTGATTAGAAAAGGTGGATAACTCACAAAATAAGGTGATTTGAGGTGATTTTTAACTACTTAAACATGATTTCTAGGCGGGGGGTGTAACTGGGAAATGGCGAGTATTGTTACTGTCTCTTATACACATCTAGATGTGTATAAGAGACAGATGCGCGCCCTCGAGAATCCTAAATTTAATGAGCATTTGTAACAGATTTGAATCTATAAGTTGTGTCAAGTTTAAAGAATCTTTCATCAACTTAGCCCAAAATACTTACAAAATCATTTCATACGACTAAATAGTTCACATAATCATTTTACTAGAGGTAGCTCATGAAACTTTTGCATCCCACATGTTAAGCATCCCAACAATACAACATTTTATTATACAGCAATCAAACAATGGAACTCACTACCATCATACATAAAACAATCAACATCACTCGATGTATTTAAAATAAAATTAAAGCATCACCTTGACATTTTTCGCTATTGTATTCTTGTATTTTGATATATTTTTGTATTTCCGTATATTTTAATGTAATGCCGAATAAAATGAAATGAAATGAAAAGATATCCCAAATACCTAGCATATACCATGCAATTTACCCGACGGTTCGCCACTGATTGTAATAGGATTTTAACTGTACACATACATGAATATATCAATACAGAAAAGTTAGTATCGTCAATACCTGATCAACTGCACACAAATACTGCCACCTATTGTGTCATATAGAACAGTAAGTGGAAAAACCCAACATTGTTGTGAGAGATATTAGAAACACTGCTACGGCACTTGTCAGCAATAAACAAGGAATTGAAAGGTAATAAGAATTCAATAATTAGTGTTATTATATAATTTGTAACTATAATATCAAGAGGACTATTATAGATAATGATAAAGTAAATAATTATAGTCAAAATTTCAAAAAAATAATTAATCAAAAAAATCTTCATTCTAGATCAAAGTTCTGCACAATACAACCTACTTACGTATTAAAATCCCAAAATCTAAAAATAAACAGACAAGGAAACTGAGTACTGATAATGCACTTGTCAATTGTAGTCCCTTATCCCCCTCCACCGGACCTGGGCCTAGCGGAGACTTAGCCGGATGTAAATTCCAGAACAGTTACATGTATGTGAAAGTCCCAGCCACCTCCCGGCAATGCCGAGCATCGTATTAACATATATCCCCGGCTAAAATTCCCCACTCTCGGGGGCTCACTCTTAAATATTTCTATATGGGTAGGTGCCGCATTTACAGGGGTATTTTGAGGATTTGGTAGCACAAGTGTGGGAATCTATGGAAGATTATCAGAATGTATAGAGTATATTTGTGAGGAATTGGTAGCACAAGTGTGGGAAATACCAGGTAAAATTGGTAGTTAAGTCCCTGCCCCGTCCATATCATCATAATTTTTCACAGGATTTTAGCAAAGTTTTTTGCTAAACTTTTTGCCAAACCTACAGAGAGATCGCGAACGGACATAACTGCGGTCGCCATCGGGAACCAAAACAAGTTTAATTTGTTAGGATACATGGCCATAATAGTAGTTCAACCAATACGGATTTTGGTAGAAAATGAAAAAAACAATGTTTGGTATTTAAGAGTTAAAATGTCTCAGAATAGCTAAAATAACCCCAAAATGCCCTGTTTTTTTGGCCCAATGCAGCATAGCCTCTGGGTCCCACCATGCTGGTCTCTGCTGGAAATTTTTTTAGGCTCCTAGATAGCTCTCCCCATCAGACACATTCTAGCTCCTTAAATCAGCGCATTTGTGTTCGAACCTACCAGGTACCCACTTGTACTCCTGGGTGGAGAGAGGCAATTGTAGATAAAGTGCCTTGCCCATGGACACATGCAATTTGCACTGCGAGTTTCGAAACCCCCGACCTTGAGGTTGGGAGTCCAAGCCACAACCGATGCGCCAACCGCTTCTACAAAATAAAACCTTAGCCTCAATTATAATTGTGGGTCTGTGATGTTACCCTCCATTCTATGGCCCTAGATCTATTTTGTGTTGCTCCAATGTATTATTTTAACAAAAAATTGGCAGGTCTTCATCATCATCACCGCATCATTATTATCATCACCATCAATATCCTCACCAACATCATCACCATTATCATCATCACCACCACAATTATCACTATCACAATATAACCACTATCGTTGCTGCCACAATCACTATTCACCATCATCACCATCGACATTATCATCATCATCACTAACCACCATTATCATCACCACTGTTACCACCATCACAATTATCATCATATAGTTTTTATTGTCAAGTGCCACAGTCTCTCTGTGTAAATAGGACTTGCAGCATGGACTGCTACTGAGGGACCACAGAGCCCAATGAAAAAAAAAGCCCCAGTAATATTATATTAACCATTTAAGTTATTACTAATTTATAGATTCAAGATGGCTACAAGTAAATTTAGTCAGTTTCTGGAAGATATTGATGAGAAAGTCTTAGAGTGTGCCATATGCTTGAAGAGACTCCAGAATCCAAAATCTCTCAACTGCCAGCATAGTTTCTGCTTGGCCTGTCTGGAAGACTGGGTTAAGAAGAAGGGTAAGCTGACTTGTCCAACTTGCACAAAATCATATCCCATTCCAGAGGGCGGGCTTCAGAAACTTCCACCAAACACCTTTCTGAATAACTTGTTAGAAACACTTGAGCAATATAAACCCGCTAGAGATCACATCACAAAATGTGTTTGTGGAAAAGCAGAAGAATACTACTGCCAGGATTGCAGACATTACTTGTGCTCTTCTTGTAGAGATTATCATAAAATATTGCCAATTTCGACAAATCACAAGCTCCATACAGTGGAGGATGTGCGTTCAATGACTCAACAGGACTTTGCTTTGTTCCAAACATTCAAAGAAACTTTAGCAACATTGGAGGAAGCTGCCCATGACTATGAAAACAAATTACAAAATGGCCTCAAAGCAGTTATTGACAATACTGCAAAATTGGAAGGAAGTAGAGATAAAAGTTTGCGAGATATTGACAGTCTTGTGCAGGAAATGATTCAAACAATTATGGAGAAAGGAGATGAAATGAAAAATAATGTAGAGATAATATACAAACGGAAAAAGCAAGCAAATTATGTACAAATGGATAAATTGAAAACAATAATATCTGAAGTAAATACAAAGTTAAATTTTCTTAAACAGTTATTAAAGAATGATGAAGTAATTGCAATGCAATCAAGTGAAACACTTATAACAGCATTGAAGGATAGAATCAATGAAATGCCCAAAACAGAGCCAGATGATAATGGACAAATTTTATTTTTTGCAAATAAACACTACATTGCATCTTTGCAGCAATGTGGCATAGGAATTGTAACACAATCAATGGCAGACAGTCTGACATTGAAGGGATTAAAATCTGTGACCGTAGGTCAAAAAATTGTTGCCAAAATAACTAAAGCAGATAGATGTCATATAGATGCAAATCAACTGAAGGCAACCTGGACACATCCTATTCGGCAAAAAAACAACAGAAGTAAAGTTCATGAAGATGACAATGGAGATTATGTTGTGACAGGAAAATGTGCAAGTCCAGGTCTTTGTAGATTGGATGTGAGTTTTGATGGCGAACCAATCGAGCAGTCACCAATGGTACTCAATGTAGAACAAAATGGATTAGTAAATACTGTTAAATTACCTGAAAGTATGAATGGTAAACACAAAAGTGTAGTTAGGTGTGAAGATGACTGCTTGCTTATTTCATGTCTCACAAATACAATGTACAAGTACAAGCAATCTGGAGGATATATTGGTAAGATTACACTACCACAAGGTGTGAAAATATTTGAAATGTTCACGATGAAGAATAGTTACATAGCAGTCAGTGATGAGGGTAACAAATGCATCACAATAGCTAAGATGAATGGTGAGGTGGTCAAATCAATTGGTCAGGAAGTACTGGGGGATCCATATGGGATCAATGTGGATGAGGCATCAGATGTTGTGTATGTAGCTGACTGGCCTAATAAATGTGTGTTCATGTTTGACATTTATAGTGGCCAGATAATCAGAAAGATAAAGTCACTAGGCAATACAACAGGAGTCATTGATGTTGCCCTTACAAATCAGGGACATATTCTTGCATTAGAGACAGATTTTGTTGAGTCTTGCAACGACCGCTTACTACAATTTGATAATAAAGGAATGTTTATGAAAGTCCTTGTTAAAGGTGATGATGATAATGTGTGTTTTGAAAGAGTAGTAGTTGATGAGGATGGCAACATTATTTTAGAAAACGATCTAACACTACAGCTTTTTAGTAGTGATGGAAATTTCATCAAAAGAATTAATAAACCAGAAGATGGAATCACCAATCTAGGTGGACTATGCTTAATTTCACAACATCCACGGAGACTTGCGGTGGCAGATGTTGGTGACAAAACTATAAAAATATATAATTACTGACATGTACTGTACAGTACTATTAAATTTGCTGATTTCACTTGTTTAATGCAATACTTTATATGATGTGAAGTAGCAACACTCAAAAGATTTTATATTTAATTTGTATATGTAGGGAGCTGAGTTTTGTGATTACCTATACCATAATAAGAAACTATTTTTGTTTGTTTTCACTTTGCGGTATTGCGCTGGGCATAGATATATATCACTGCGCGTATCATGTTAGAAGGCCTACGTAGCCGAACACATCTTTCAGTCCCTTTTCTTGCACTGGTCTGAGCAGTAACAAGACATGTGTTACTGTCGTCGAAAACAAAGTACTGTTTTGATGACATTGAATTGTTCTGGTACGTTGAAATTATAAACAGTTTAGATTAGTTACATTTATGAATAGTTATCTGAAGATAAATGGCTATCTTGTACTCATGAGTTGTGGTTTATTGTAAATTATCTTGGTAATAACTAGGCCTAGGCTGAGAGCCGATTAATGTGCATGCTCAAACCAGTTGTACCGTAGTGCTGTGCTACGGCTATTCATTGATCATTGTGATGAGATGCATGTTAAATTGTTTGAATAAGAATCATAACCACATCAGTAATAATGTGTGTCCCATTTATCTCTATATTATAATGTTGAAAGAGTTGGATTAATTCACAGTTAAACGGTAATTAAAATTGTTTAATCAGTACCTAGTTGATCACGTTGAGCCACGTGAGCTCGTTCGTGCAGTTAGTTAGGTAACTTTATATCACGTGGGTTACGCTCTTATGTAACCAAAGATGACTGCGCCCATGATATGTTAAAAAAAATGGCAGTGCCCATGAGACGAATAATAGGGTTACGTTTATTAATGATTAAATTAGAAAGAATGTTAACTTGTTTAATTGTGATCTTTAATAACTACTGGACTATATAATATCCATGTATATATGTAGAGGTACAGCTTTAACAAGTCCATCATTTAATAATTGGAGATATTATAGTCTGGATGTGATGTTTACCAAAGTTTTCATTGTTTACTTGATTTGTGAAACTACTGTAAGTGACACAATTCTATATTGATAGTGTACAGTATGTATGACTATGGTTTTCTGTGGTTTATTTCCACAGGGTTTTTTTTTCTTTTGTTTGGCTTTTTCTGGTTCTGATCAAGTTGTGATGACACTCGTCGGAATTAAACATCAAACTGAAGTTAAAACATATATTTGCAGTTAGCGTGTTTTATTCTTGTCTAAGCCTACCACAGTTAATTGAACAAAAATACAATTAATACGACAATTATTCGATATGGAAATGTTGACATTCTGTAACCCAGACCCCCAGCGACTCCACCACTGGTACCTTGCAACCTGGACATTTTGAGACCTGAAATGCCTTGGTTACAAAATGTCCAGATTGCGAAGCACCTGCAGTATAGTGTTATGAAACATCCTGGTTACAAAATGCCTGTCACCCATCTACATGATAAAATAAAAAAATTAGCAAAAGGTACTTAACAGAAATTTAAAAACTAAACTTAATATCAAAATCAAAAACTAATGAACAGGAATACAATATCACAAAGAATGTGTTTACCTGGTAGCAATAAACATTTTAAAAAATAAATTGACATTTAATAACATTTTTTAGGTCTTCACCAACATCATTCCAGATTTTTGCACCCCTACAGTATATGATAAGCTTCTTTTCTTATAGTCAGTTCTTGGTTTTTGTGATACTGATTGATATATCACCAGGCAATAAACAAAAGGAGGACATATTGTTGTATTATGGTGTTACCACTGTCAGTTCCATCATTATAATTATTTTACACATCTTAAAGTTCAATGTCCAAGAAGTGAAAGTGTGAGTGGAAATGAAGATTTAAAGTGAGCGACGGTAGCTAAACCAGAGCGTTTATTGTCATGTATTTTGTACAGAATTATTTCATTCATATTATTCGTATTTATATAATAAACATTTAGTTGGTTTAAATTTGTAAAACTGTTGTCGGTCTCACTCTTTCTGTTATCTCATCTTCACATGTCATCTTGCAACAATTGATTGCAACAATTTGATAATGAAGGAAGGTTCATGAGAGGTCTTGTCAAAAGTGATGAGCATGGTATAGTGAATTTTCAAGGAGTAGTAGTTGATGAGGATGACAACATCATTTTAACGAGCAAAAAAAATTTACAACTTTTCAGTAGTAGTAGTAGTTTTATCAAAAATAATTTTGAAATAAACTTGCTCATATTGCAATAGCATACAAATTATTAACTTGTGCATAGAAATTATTTAATTTAAAAAATGTGTACCCTGATTTTTAAACCAAAAAATTATATTAAAAATAATAAAACACTTCCAGTGACTGGGAGTGTTTCTATCATTTTTCGCTGTAAGTAAACTGATGGGTAGACATTTTTTAAATACACTAATTTCTATGTTGAAATTCATAACTTTATGTTACTTCAAAATGGCAAGTTAATTTTTCAAAAAAAAATATTTTTATGATTTTGTTGGTGTTTAGCATGAGACAATTAACCAAACATCCAGAATTACTTGTGTTGTTCAAGCTCATCCGGAGATTTTATACAACTTAGTTTTAAAGAATATCAACTGAATTTTTTATCTGATCATACTTTAAAAAATTTGTGAACAGTAATAGAAGTTCCTACAGCAATTAGATTTTAGAATGTTTTAGTGTAATAATTATTTTTAACCTACAATTTTAAACAAATTTTTAACTGAGGAATTGTTTATTGATATTGTTTGCATGTTTTACTCCCAAGGCCAAATGAGTTTCCCTATTATAAAGTTTTATTGAATTGAATTGAATTGAATTTGATGAATGGTACTATCTGTACACATTTTTAAAAGTAAAATATATTTTAGGCTCATTTACATGTAGCTGAAAGGTCAATGTCTTCCAGCTTATTGTGGTGGTCGATAAGTCTTTTTATGTACAGTATTCTGTAAGTAGCAAACATGGATTGCTGTTGGATGCATAAATACATTAAAACATACATAAAAAATAATCAAATTCGTTCATGTTAAAACTGTATAATTAATTCATTGGGGATCTGAGGGGGGGGGGGTTCAGGAGTCCTGACCTGCTCCCCCTTCCCCCTTGGACAAGAAAAAAATATATATAATAAAAAATTAAATATTTCTAGACCTACAGTACCTTTTCAGGACCCGTGAGCTGAAATATTTTTGTTACAATGGGAAAATTAGAAGTCAGAAAAGCTCATTTCCCACCATCTAGAAATCAAGATTTTCCCGAGGAAGGACCCGTAACCCCCTTTCTTTTTGGGGTTCATTGATTCATAGAAAAATAATACGTATGCAACAACAGTATTCCATTTTTTTTGTATGTATACAGTTACACACATAATAGGGCTATTTACTGTAATAAAAATGAGAAAAATTTACCTGACCATTTTTAAGAGGGGAAAACCTTGAATTTTTTGAAGAACATAAAAGTCCTTAAGAAGACACTTCAGAAGTTGGGAAAGCTCATTTCCACCATCTAGAAATCAACATTTTCCCAGGGAGAACCCGGACCCCCTTTTCTCTTTAAAGTTCATTGATTCATGGAAAAAAAAAATACATACTATGCAACTACTGATTTTTTAAAAATGTATGTATACACACATAATAGGCTTATTTTACTGTAATAAGAATGAGAAAGTTACCTAAATGTTTTCAAGAGGGGAAAAACCTTGAATTTTGAAGAACTTAAGTCAATAAATGACACCATAGGAGTCGGGAAAGCTCATTTCCCACTATCTAGGAATCAAAGTTCTACCGGACCTCCCTTTTCTTCTTTTTTTGGGGGGGGGGGGTTTTCTTGAAACATTTTGGACCCCCTCCCCCACCCTTCTAAATTTGAGCCTAGATCGGCCCCTGTTAATTATATAGATTGGCAATTGGTTCTTCTGAAATAGACTTTAATAAACCGTTGATGTTTAATGACCATTTCGGATTTTCAAATTCTGAGAAAGGCCTTGACATTGGCTAGGACGGGTAGTCTAAGGAAACAATGAAGAGGGTAAAAGCAAAGAAAGATGATGTATTCTGAGAGAGGCCTTGAAATCGGCTAGGTGGATGATTCCCTAAAGAAAGAAAGGAGAAGGGATGAGAACAAGGAGAAAGAAATGATGTATTCTGAGCAAGACCTTGAAAGCGGAAGGGTGGGAGCTTGCCTAAGGAAACCAAAGAGAGGGGATGACAACAAGGAAAGAAACAATGTGTTTTGAGGGAGGCCTTGAAATTGTCTAGGGTGGGAGCATGCCAAAGGAAACAAGGGAGACGGGATGAGGATCACAAGGGAAAAAATGTGTTCTGAGTAAGGTGTCCAAATTGGCCAGGACGGGAGCTTACCTAGGGAAATAAAGGAGAGGGATGAGAACAAGAAAAGAAATGATTCACTGTTCTTACCAAGGCCTTGAAATTAACTAGGGTGGGAGAATTGCTGACTATCTTCAGAGGAAGTTAATTTTACAAACGGATGAAACAAATCAAAATGTCCATACAAGAGCATTGACCTCTCGAATCGGTGCTGTGATGATGATCAAAGTTTCATATAGGGTACGAATTGAAAATAATTAAGTTGGTTTGAGCATCAGAGTGCTTTAACTATTATGGTCTTCAGCTTAACAAGACGGAACTCAGAAGACTATTCAGGGAGATATCAATACAGTAATGTTATTATATCACCAAGTCACACATGATCAATTACACACAAATACCACCACCTACAGCTATTGTATCATATAGAAAGTTCTAGAATACCCCAACATTCTGTTTAATAGCAAGAGCTTGGTGAGAGTTGGTACAAACGCTAGTATACTGTCACGTAACTTTTTCAGCACTAAACAAGGAATTTAAAGGTAATAAACATTCAATTAATAGTGTTGTTACATAGTTTATAATTTTAATATCAATAGGATCATTATAAATAGATGATACAATATAAAATAATTTAGTCAACAAAATCTTCATTAATTATCTGAGTACTCACGCTATATGCCTACACCTACTGGTATTCAGAAAAAGTATCCCATAATCCAGAAATACACACAAACAGACAAGGAAACAAGAAATTTAAAGGGAATATACACTCAATTATTAGTGTATATACCAATAGGACTATTATAAATAATGACACAAATAATTTTAGTCCAAATTTAGAATAATAAAAATGAATTAAAATCTTCATTAGATCTGATGGCACACTACACCTACTGGTATTCAGGAAAACAAAATCCCATAATCTAATAATAGACACATTAGGAAACTGAGTATTACTGGCAATGCTATATATCAAACTTCTACATAAAAAAATAAACCCCCTAGTGGGAGCATGCATTGTGTCTACTATAAATAGTTTTTTTTAGGTACTTCAGTTTCAGTTTATTTAACACCTCCTTGGTTTCTGTTTATTCATTCATTTTCCACACTTAAAAAATACACAGCACAAGTATAGGTAAAAACATACAGAAAAAAATACAGAAGTATGGAAGGAGGCCTATAAAGTTATGACACTTTAAGCATAGGCCTTCTGGTTAGAAAAAAAAAAAAAAAAAAAAAAATTAAGACACAAATTTAGTATCATACATAAATAGATGTAATCATTAGAGCCTAAATAATAAATTCAAGAAAATGAAAACACTGAGCAGATGAAGACTCAATAATTAGACATAATTTATTGTGAATAAATAAATGTAAATGTAATGTGGTGTATAATGATGGTTAAATAATAAAGACTCGTACTACAGTTATACTTGTTGCTTGCTTGAATTTTTATTCCCTCATGCTCTGCTCACTAACCACGTACGGGTCATATCCCGGTCATATGATAGAGGTCATACTCACTTTTATTCACCATAGTCCATTGGACACTACATCTCTCCCCATCATTCAGATGGACATTCAAGTGCAACAATAACAACGTTAATCAATATTAACAGCCTGCTTTATAGGCTGTATTTAAACTAAACATTTCAATGCATAGCATCAACAACAATTGACACACAACACAACATTTTATCGATTGTCTTTTTGTGATGTTAAGAATATGAACATGAAAATATGTGTTTAAGAAACATAGTCTCTGAGGTAAGCTGGTGGTTGCCGATTTCTTGGCGGGTTGAGCCTTGTGTCAGACGCTGCAGGCTGTGTCTCCACAGTATCGTCGTCACTGTAGTAATCAGTGTTGTGAGTTGGTGTGTTCTCGGACTGGCCTTTGAACCGCTTGAAGAATGAAACATTTCTCGTTATTTCGTGATGTTATTTTGTGATTTGTGTTGCGGTGATCATGGTTTAATTGATTTTAGTCACTGTGTGGTGTGGTTTTGTATGGAGTTTTAGATGATGTTAAGATGCCACTCTCTTTATTGAGTAACATATCACCAACTCTGATGCGCCTTGACCTAATTGGTCTTGACTTCTTGGCATTAGCTTTCATCTTACACTTTTGTGATTTGTCTTTTGATCCTGACTGCCCTGGTGTTCATATATGATTTCTGGGCTATTTCAGGAAGTTTGGTTTTGAAGCTATGAGCGGTGTGGCTCTGTAATTTCTGAGGTACTGATTGATTGATGTCGATTAACTACCTCGACCAAGAGAAATCTGCTGTAGTCATCAAGGATTAAAAGGAGATATTCACCTGTGGGGAGTTCTTTGAAATCAATGCTTATTTCCTCCCAAGGTCTGTTAGGTAGCTTGGACATCTGGAGTTTTGTGTTGTAGTCGCTTGAAAAGGAAGACATGCATTTACTTTATCTTCGACCATGTGATCGATTCCTGGGAACCAGACCTTCTGTCAAATGAGCTGTTTCGTATCAGCATAATCCATCTTTCTATGCATATCGGTAGCTTTGACGCAGGATTGTTGAAGATTGGGAGGAGCGGCTTGTGATCTGTTATCACCTTAAATGCGCTGCCACATATAGGTGAAAATGTTGTATTTCCCATACGACAGCAAGCGCTTCACGCTCTGTTTGTGAATAACTTGTTTCGACGCGGTAAGTGCGCGAATCGCGTATGCTAGTGGCTGTTTACCTTGGCTTTAGAATCGCAACAAGGCCACTAGGACTTCAACTATTATCGTAGACTGCTTGCTAGTAATTGACTTAGTTTTTCAAACGTTTGCTGCTCTACTTCACCCCAATTCTATGATGTGTCTTTGTGGGTGAGCTGTCTTAGGGGAGTTATGACGGTAGCATACTGCGGAATAAATCTTGCGACATATTGTGTCATGCCTAGCAATGATCGTACTTCTTCCTTTATGTGGCTGGTGCGATAGCCTTTGCGATGGCAGCGATCTTTTTAGGATCCTGTGCTACGTCTTTGTCACTAAAGACGTGTCCATAGAACTCGATGCGGCGTCTGAAGAATTCACACTTTGCATGATTTAGTGTCAAATTTTTGTCTCAGGCATTTTGCATGCATGCTTTGAGATTATTTGCGTGTGCAGCCTCTGTCTTTCCAAATGCTAAAATATCATCTGATATTTACGACTCCTGGTAAGTCCTCCTAGTGCTGACTGTATCATATTCTGAAATTTCTCTGCTGCAAAACAGACTCCAAAGCTCAGACGTTTGTAAAGGTACAGTAGGCCTACGTGTGTTGAGAACACTGTAATGTATTGTGACTTTTGGGCTAGGGGTACTTGGTGGTAACCTGCATTCATATCGATTTTGGAGAACATTACAGCTCCATTTAATTGTGCGATTATATCGTCAATCGTTGGCGTCACATGTCTTTCCCTACCTGTATTTGCGGACCTCATGTTGACACATATGCGAATTTCCTCTGCTTTCTTTGGTTTTGTTACTACCATTATTGATGAGATCCAAGGAGTTGTCTCAATGGACATCAATTATGTCCAAATCCAGGTGGGTGCTTAATTTCGGCTTCAATTTTGGAATGAGATCCTGCAATGAAGTTGCGCCACTGGTTGTATATCTCTTCGTTTATGTGGAGGGTGCAGATGGCATCGTTCAGCTTCCCTATTCCGCTAAACCTGTCCTTGTATGTCTCAACTATCCCGCGTTAATCGGTGTCGAGTCGCTGATACTGTATGTTATGCTAATCAAACCAAGTTTTTTCGCTGTATTTAAGCTCAATGGGTTTCCATTCCTGATTTCACAACGCTTAACTTTGTTGATATTGATATTCTTATAGATCACGTTAGTCATAAAGGTCATACTCACTTATTCACCGTAGTCCATTGAACACTACAGTTGAGAATGTTATAAAATGATAATTTGAAAATTGTGGAAACTTGATTATTGTAACATTTCTTCTTTTTGAACTTTGAACTCTCAAACCTGATTTACTCTCACAACCTAAGTGAGACAAAAACTAAGTGTCTACAGCCCATGTGGGGGCAGTAAACACAGAAACCCAATATTATCAATTATAATATACGTATGTTTCAATATAATTGATCTACCATTGGTCAGCATCTGTCTTAATATGTTTATACTTGCAACGACAACGATAAATAGCTAAAAAGCAATTGTTTATATAGAAAATAGAAATACCAGAAATATAATAATTATATAATACCAGATATTCAAACCCCTAAGGTTAAAAAGTGGGACAAATTAATCTGAAAAGGGGGACATTTCATTCAAATATGGGACACAATTAACCAGAAAGCAGGAAAATTGGGCGACAACTCTAACTTTACCTCTCTTTGCCTTCTGTACACAACCTTATGATGAGCAAAGTTCCTGGTATATAATACAGTATACAAATATTTACTGGGTTAGGGAGGGCACAGTTCAAAATATAGCCCGAGGTGATCTGAGGGTCTAGAGAAGAAGCCGAGGGATATACTGTAAGTACAGCTTCCAGATCACCAAGAGCTATATTATGAACGACGACCTGATTAAAACCCAGTAAATATTTGTTTTATATACCACTACAAATATTGAAGGCATCATAGAGGGCATTGTTAGAATACTTGCCCGGCTTTTAACCAATCAAATGCCTGCAATCTATGTAGGCAGTATATATAATAACTAATATACCCATTCTAATGATTGCTTCCATGGCAGTTCCTGGTATAATACAGTATACAAATATTTACTGGGTTGAGAGGGCATAGCTCAAGATAACGCCTGAGGGCATCTGAGGGTCCCGAGGAGAAGTCAAGATATGTAAGTACAGCCTCCAGATCACCGAGAGCTATATTATGAATTATGACCTGATTAAACCCAGTAAATTTTATATACCACAACACAGATTGAAGGCATTAGAGGGCATTGTTGGAACTATTGCCCAGCTTTTCAATCAAATGCCTGGAATCTATGTATTTGGCATAAAATCAGTGGCGGCTCTAGGATATATTTTCTGGGGGGGGGGGCTAAGTTGTCCGACAGTGGGGACTTGAGCTCGTAGGCTCGAGCTGGAGGAAGGGGTTGAGAGGAGGTTCCCCTTCCCAAATGAGATTTTTTTTAAAGAATATCAACCTCTGGATGGCAGACTGTGACAGACGTGTTGGCTTGGTGTGGGCCTATTTTTATATGTTTTATGGTCTGACTGCCCGACGAGCTCTGTCCGGCAGGGGGGGGGGCTTTACCTGTCCTTTGGGGGCCTTAAGCCCCACTGCCCACCGCTGGCACCGCCACTGCATAAAATACCTAATATTGCTACTTTAATTCTAATGATTGCTTCCATGGCATGATGTCAGACCTTGTTGCAATAGATAGGGAGCTCATGATGCAAACATTAACTCAAGAGGGCGGCACCCATGTATGATCAGGCAGTCGTACAATGTATATTATTACGATAATTTTGGTGAAAATGCGATCGTTTTATTGATTATTGTTATTGATATAAATAGTTAATTTTGTTACTCAAGTTTTTAATTTGTGATTTAGGAGCACTTAATCGCTATGAGATTTAATATGTGCTTTTACTGAAGTTTCTATTTAGTATACTTACTGTATACCATTGTTAGCATCGCAGATATTGTGATTGTTGTTACATAATTATTGTTTCGAGGTTAAGCATTAGTAGATCATTGATATGGATCTTTGATACTGAGTGACATGGTTTGAGTCTTCTTCTCGCGTATGCATTGCAAATCACACATCAACATCCAGGTCCAATAACCACTGTCTTTTTACAAGGTCACATTCTGCTAGACGGGCAATTCCACCATTAAGTTTTCTCCTTGGGCACTCTTCCACGATGTGTTTGGCTGTCTGGTTACTAGCCCCACAATCACAAGCAGGTGTTGGCTTCATGTTCCACTTTATGTAGCATGTGTGCTGTGCGACCATGGCCAGTAATCAGTCTCTTCAGTCTGCACCTCTTTCCAGGGAGGTTAAAGCCTGGTGAGATCTCTGTGGGAACCCAAAGGTCCTTGATATTGTTTTCTCCACTTTCCCATTCTGTGGTCAATGGTTTGAGTTGCCAATGTCTAATCATTTGAGAGTTAATGTTGAGATGCAACATTCGTATTGTTGAAGTTACTGAGTTAAACGAAGGTTTTTCAAATGAGATTGATACCCTGAGAGATTAATATTGTAATGTATTTGTATCTTCCGAGCTTCGATCCGGCAGTGGTAAGGCAACAGTGTTATTTCGTTGACTTTCAATGGGTTGTTAAGAGATGAAATAAAAAACAGAATGACAAACAACGTTAAATTCTCTATCCAGAGAGCGAACAGACTTTTTTTAATGATTATACTCACAGTATGAAGTAAACTAGCAATCACCCAAGTAGATATCACAAGAGTGTAGCAACTGTTATCCTCATTAATCTCCCGTACAAGTATATGCGTTCCATCTCTCACCACTTCTCATGGAAGGACCATGAGGAGAGGGAGAGAAGGCCCACCCCACCTTGGCAGCAGCAGTAGTAGTGCTGACAACATCCAAGGGAGAAGGGAAGGATTTATTCACAGACTAGCACTTAAGTCCTATATAAGGACACTATCAGTCAATCAGACTGACAGACCAATCACTAAGTATTTCAGGGCTGTCCCATTAATTAAAGCTATTGCCCAAGAGAGCTGTTACAACGTAGGGGGGTAATTTTGTTACAACATTAACCGAGTTATTGTTATTTATTATGTTCTTTAACCCATGAGAAGTTAGCATAACATTACATTAGATGTGCTGTAATTTGAGATTCGTAATTTACAATAGGAGAATATGATTTAAACTCTAACGATTGGAACAACCTGTACCTGGTATTGTAAGATTTTGATGTAAACTTTGAAACAAGAGTTGATTTACAGTATATCTAATGCTAAAGAATGGCAACTTGACTAATTTGAGGCCTTTGCTCACTACATCTTGTGTTTTGACTCGTAGAGATAATTTTGAGACACATTACATATTTATATTTTCTCTGAGGTTTTATTGTCTTTTGTGTTACATTTGGTATCACAGTTTAATAAACGTTACATAACGTATTCAAGTCTTGGTTCATTCTATCGACTCATCGACCCACGACACAAATACAGAATGCTGAGGCTAATATATATCAACTTAAGCCCAACTCAAATTATATTAATTACTAAAATTCTTTATCATTTACAGGCTTCAGGCTTACATCAAGATGGCTACAAATAAACTTAATCAGTTTCTGGAAGATATTGATGAAAAAGTCCTGGAGTGTGCCATATGCTTTAAGAGACTTCAAAATCCAAAATCCCTCAAATGCCTGCATAGCTTTTGCTTGGCCTGTCTGGAAGACTGGGTTAAGACGAAGGGTAAGCTGACATGTCCAACTTGCACAAAATCATATCTCATTCCAGAGGGCGGGCTTCAGAAGCTTCCACCAAACACCTTTCTGAATAACTTGTTAGAAACCCTTGAGCAATATAAACCATTTACAGATCACATCAAAAAATGTGTTTGTGGAAAAGTAGAAGAATACTACTGTCAGGATTGCAGACATTGCTTGTGCTCTTCTTGTAGTGACCATCATAAATTACTGCCTATGTCAACAAATCACAAGCTACATACAGTGGAGGATGTGCACTCAATGACGCCACAAGAGTTTGCTTTGTTAAATCCTCCGTTGTGCTTATGTCATTCTAAACCATTGGAGTTGTACTGCCAAGAATGTAAAATTCCGATATGCATTCATTGCACATTAATAGAGCACAAGGGGTGGGAAGGGAAACACAAACCAATCAGCATATCAGATGCATTCCAAACATTTAAAGAAACTTCAGCAACATTAGAGGAAGTTGCCCATCGCTATCGAAAAAAATTACTAGAAGGCCTTGAAGCAGTTATTCAAACGTCTATAAATTTAGAAAAAAGTAGAGAGACAAGTTTGCGAGATATTGACGGTCTTGTGCAGGAAATGATTAAAACAATCATAAATAATGGAGATGCAATGAAAAATAAAATACAGATAATCTACATACAGAAAAAGCAAGTAAATGATGTCCAAATTAATGAAATGAAAACAATAATATCTGAAGTAAATACAAAATTGAGTTTTCTTAAACAGTTATTAAAGAGTGACAAAGCATCGGCAATGCAATCAAGTGAAACAGTTATAACGGCATTGAAGGATAGAGTCAACAGGCTGCCCAAAACAGAGCCAAAAGATGATGGACAAATTTTATTTTTTGCAAATAAACACCTTATTGCTTCTTTGAAGCAACATGACATAGGAGAAATAAAAACGGAAATTAAGGCGGCAGAGTCTTTGACATTAAAGAGAGTGGCCTCTGCAAGCCAAGCTCGAAATAGTTTTGCAAAAGTAATCAAAACAGATGAATATGATAAAGATGCAAGTCAACTGAAGGCAACATTGACACATCCAACAGGAGAACCCAACATCACTCAAATTGAAGAAGATGAAAATGGAGATTATGTTGTGACAGAAAAATGCAAAAGTCCTGGTGTTTGTAGACTTGATGTGAGTGTTGATTATGAATCAATTAAGCAGTCACCAATGATAATCAAAGGAGAGAAAAAAGGATTAGTAAATAGTATTAAATTAGGCAAAGATACAAATTACTACGGCCTATTTAAGTGTGAAGATGACTGCTTGTTTGTTTCATGTAGTACAAATAAGATGTACCAGTATAAGCAATCAGGAGAATATATTGGTAAGTTTACACTACCAAAAGGTGTGGAAATATTTGAAATGTACAAAATGAAAAATGGTAACATAGCAGTCAGTGACGATGGTAACAAATGCATCACAATAGTTAAGATGAATGGTGAGGTGATCAAATCAATTGGTCTGGGAAAACTGAGGAACCCATATGGGATCCATGTAGATGATGCATCAAATGTTGTGTATGTAGCAGATTTTGACCATAAATGTGTGTTTATGTTTGACATTGATAGTGGCAAGATGATCAGAAAGATCTCACCAGGCAATAAAATAGTAATCACTGATGTTACGCTTACAAATCAAGGACATATTCTTGCATTAGAGAGAGATGCTAAACAGTCTTGCAACAATAGATTGCAACTTTTTGATAATGAAGGAAGGTTCATGAGAGTGCTTGTCAAAGGTGATGAGCATGGCATTGTGGGTTTTCGAAGAGCATTAGTTGATGAGGATGAAAACATTATATTAGAAAGTGATAAAAAACTACAACTTTTTAGTAGGGATGGAAATTTTATCAAAAGAATTGACAAACCAGAAGATGGAATAACCAATCCAGGTGGAGTATGCTTAATTTCACAACACCCAAGGAGAGTTGCGGTAGCAAATAATGGACACGGTTACAAAACTATAAAAATATATAATTACTGAAGTGTACTTAAAATATAATCAAGAAAAAGCAAGAATGATGTACAATTGGATGTATTAATTGTAAATGCAAAACTGAGTTTTCTTAATCAGTTATTAAAGAGTGATGAAGCAACAGCAATGCAATCAAGTGTATTGAAGAATTAGTGATGAGGATGACAACATCATTATAGCAAGTAATAATGGTGAAAACATAAAAAATATATAATTACTAATGTGTATTGTAAAATCTGTCGCTTTTTTTATGCAATTTTATATTACGTGAAATAGCAACAGTCAAAAATATGTTTTATTTTCTTTCTAGGCTTACGGTACATGTTTTTTTTTTTTAAATTAACCTAAATTTTAGTTTAAGAAACAAACAAAAATTATCGAGCAAACAACATAGCAAAAAAATTAGAACACAGCTGTAGGTTTACCCAACAGAACTTTTTAGTACTGTACCTACATGTAATAGAAATTGAATAAAGACATAATTTTGATTATGTAACAATAGCAAAAAGAGTTGATAGTTGCGAAGGCTATAAAAAGTAATCAATTGATCGTGAAGGTATAAAAATGTATTAATGAAAGCTTGAAAAGTGAACTTTTTGAACAAGTATTTTGGGCTACTTTAAAAAAAAAAAAATATTTTTGCTAAAAAAAAACTGACAATTGTTTTTTGAGAATTTGGGTTGGTCAGGATTGGGAAGTTTTTTTTTTGCCGAATAAGGATTGAGATAATGATAACTATCATGATGAAATTATTAAAAATAATAATTTAATAACAACTGTAGTTTAAAATGAAAATAAAATTGTATTGTAATTGATAAAAGGCTGTTTTGGCACCAATGACAATTGAGGAGTAATTGTCCAAGAGAGAGCGGGACCTATGGTCTGTGGGAATGGTTGAGGTACAGTACATCACGATATTGTATTATAGGCCTAGGTAATTCTTAGGCTCGAGTCATCATACATATCTTTTGTACCATTTTATCTTCATATATTTTTGTAATAAAAAAATTAAAAATGTATAAATTTCCACAAATTTTAGGAGTTGCTAAAATTACAATATTTTGTTTGAAGGATTGCATTGCGAAGGAATAATTTATTAAATGCTTGCAGTACACCAGGTTAGATAGTTGTGAAAAGAAATGTTGCTTTTGTTGGGAAGAAAATAACATTTCTTTTCAGAACCATGTGTATGGTGTACTACAAGCATTTAATAAATACAATATTTTATTATATAAAGTTTGTTATTAGTTTGTATATATATATATATATATATATATATATATATATATCTTGAATAAATTAAAAATTCCTTATGACTATACTGAATTTTTATAATTATTTTGAGACCATTTTTAGTTCATTATTTTACAGTATTTGTAATTTCAATATGGTTTGTGCTGTATTTGTATTATGTCCTGCCCTCTCTTGTACAGTAAGTGGCTAAGTGTAAATTGCTGCTGGATAGGTACAAAAAATATCTAATGCATATTCTAATTAACTAAAATGAATTTTCTTAATGAATAATTACAAAAATACCAAGTCAATTAATGTACATGTGTTATATTATCTGTAAAGCACAAAAATGGAGATTGTTATGTCCTCCATACATTTAATTATATTTTTTGTTTAAATTGTATTCCCTATAATCAACTAAAATGAATTTTGTTAATGAATAACTACAAAAATACCATGTAAATATATGTACATGTGTTATTTTTGTAAAGCACAAAAATTGAAACATATTCATTAATAATAATGAAACCAATATGATTTTCTTAAAATGGAATATGATATGCTACTTATATTAACTCCACAATTCATCTGCTTCTAGTTAGAAATAGAAATAATGTTTTTACAATTATGAGTAGATAATATCTGTCTTATTGCTTAATTAAAAGGACCATAGAAAAAAAAGCTGTTGACTTTTTTTGTGTTTTCCTTGAATGTTCTCTGTTTATTTAGTAATTATTAATGAATGCATGTTTTAGTACTTATAAGTTCTACAGTATGTTCCAAATAAAGTATTGCGTCAACGAATAGTGAGGCTATAAATGTCATGGCCTTTCATAATTGGCTCTGATGAACAGCGAGGGTAAACTGTGTTGTTTCAGTGTTTGGGATTTCCCAAAGCTTTGTGCACGGGCTGGTTTCCTGACGCCTCCAAACTTTTATATGCCGTAGTCCCTATTCATGTTATTTTGACATAATCTGGTTTGAAGATGTGTTAATAATTTAATATGACTATAAATCTTAACTTATAGGCTATTCCATTTTACAAAAAGGGTACATGAGAGATGAAGTATAGCATTATGGTTAATGTTTACTATTAAAATATTATTTCTCAGATTAAAAATTTCATTGACATAAAAAAAAAACTTGAACCTAATTTGTTTGGATAAACAGTAAGTTGTAGTTCATCAAGAATGGGAAAAACCAACTGTAATTGGTGAGGTAAACAAGCTCATAATTGCAGAAGCATTGTAAGCACTTAAACATAGGAATTTAAAGGTAATAAGCATTTAATTAAACATTTTAATATAGAATCTATAATTTAGATATTTTCAAGAGGTCTATTGTAGTATCACAATAGTGGCGGAGATTCTATACTTTTGTAGGGGGAAATCACTTTGAATTGGCCTACTAAGGCTGGCGGCCGCATAGGGCCCCAGTTAGGACGATCTGCTGGCAAAGCCCCAGAGTTGGGGCCAGGGCACAAGCCCACAGCGCTTGCGCATTCTAGCGTCTTTTATGACAAATTTTACAGATTTCTGATGAGGAAAATACACAAAATAATGCTGTACAAATTCTGAAAAAATTACATTTCAAATGGATTGTCAACCCAAGAATTGATTATTAATAATGAGACTCCCTAACCCTGGAGACAACATTGGAGACTATTAACAGGAGTGCTTGAATGTTGATTAATATAGCGGCCTGTTATTTGTCAGTATATCGACTCAATGTAAGTTTTAAACTCAATCTGGCAGATATAACGTGGATTGTGGATCTCTCACAAATATTTTTAAAGTGAAATATGAATACTGTATGTTTCTGTGAATTACACATTTTTTTTTTATAAGAACCAGTAAAATTTTGCCCAGGCTCAGTGTTCTTATTGTTTGACCGATTTCAGACTCAATCTGTTTTATTTCTACGCACTTTTTAAACTCAGAACATTATTATTGTACAGCAGTACGATATTATAAATAAATTTCGGAATGAACTCATATGATTTCTAAATCTAGTTTTGAAATGATTTTCTGTTAAGCCTATGTATGTCTCGTGCTTGTTACTGTCCTCTCTTGTTACGGTTGCTTGGTATACTATGCCTTCGGTTAAACACTTGCCGGCAAGTACATACATAGGCTACAAGTACATGATATAGTCACTCGTTTAGACCTAGCCTAGGCTAGACCTTGGCTATGCCTACTATATTATTTAAATATACAATTTTAATTGATAAGATTAATTTTACATGGATATAGTAATTCATACCTAAACAATACATTAAGTTTAAATATAAATACTGTATAATGACATAACAAATAAATAACAATAATTTAAACGTGTACAGTATCTATCACTACTACAATAATAAGATTAATATTTTAAAATCTTATAATCAATTTTATATAGCCGGAGTTAGTTTCGATCTGGGCAAAACCTTTGCTATAGGTACACTTTCTCCATCAAAAGGCTTCTTCTATGAATGGAATGACCTGTTCGAAGCACAAACTCCTGTAGACCAAACCCAGTACCGTTATGATTTTTAATCGTACGGGAAATCCACTCACAAAGAATACTACTGCCAGGAGTGCAGACATTACTTGTGCTCTTCTTGTTACAGACAATCATAAAATATTACCAATTGTGGCAAATCACAATTAAGCTATATAGAGTGGAGGATGTGTGCTCAATGACTCCTCAGAACTTCACTTTATTAAATCCTCCACTGTGTTTATGTCACTCTAAACCTTTGGAGTTGTATTGTCAAGATAAACTCCAATATGCATTTATTGCACATTTATAGAGCACAAGGGGTGGGAAGGGAAGCACAAACCAATCAGCATATCAGTTGTATTCCAAACATTTAAAGAAACTTCTGTAATATGGGAGGAAGCTGCCCATGACTACAAAAACAAGTTACAAGAAGGCCTCAAAGCAGTTATTCAAACTGCTACAATGTTAAAAGAAAGTAGAGATACAAGTTTGCAAGATATTGACAGTACTGTACAGGAAATGATTAAAACAATCATGAATAAAGGAAATGAAATGAAATATTATGTAGAGATAATCTACAAAAGGAAAAAGCAAGCAAATGATGTACAAATGGACGAATTGAAAACAATTATATCTGAAGTAAACACAAAATTGAGTTTTCTTAAGCAGTTATTAAAGAGTGAGGAAGCAACAGCAATGCAATCAAGTGAAACCATGATTAAAGCACTGGAGGACAAAATCAATGAAATGCCTAAAACAGAGCCAAATGATAATGGACACATTTTCTTTTTTGCAAATAAACACCACATTGCTTCTTTACAACAATCTGACATAGGAAATGTAACACAAGCAATGATAGATGGTCTGACATTAAACTTTGAGGAGTGGAATCTGTGACACAATGTCAAGTAATTGAATTGCCAAAATAATCAAAGCAGATAGATGTATTATTGATAAAAAAAAAAACCAACTGGAGGCAACACGGACACATCCTACAGAAGAAATCAACAACACTCAAGTCTATGAAGATAACAATGGATATTATGTTGTGACAGAAAAATGTCTAAATGTTGCAGACTAGATGTAAGTCTTGATGAACCAATCAAGCAGTCACCAACGATAATCAATGTAGAATAAGAAGGAGTAGTAAATACCATTATTGGGTCTGTGCATGGCGCTGACCCCAGAGCCTCACTGCTGTTCTTGCTCTTACCACAACTTTAAAAGCATCCAGTGTCGCCAGTTTTGAACATATGTGCAGGAAATTTTGTACACATAAACTAAAGGTGATTTGCAACAAATGTTCATTGCCCCTTTTTTATGTTGGATCCAGGGTTCCTCCTACACTCACAAAAATACAGCGGTTTCCACAAGGACTGTACATTACTGCCATTACCACTAATAGCGCTCGTCGCAAGTATGGTGCAGTCGTTTATAGATGTGTAGAGAGGTCGCAGGTTCGAGTCCTGCCAGAGGCATTTTATTACACAATTTCTTTATTCATTTATTTACAGGACTACATTCGTTGCGAGCTATGCTACACGATGTACTATTGTCCTTTATTCGAACACTGTATTTACCTTTCTTTGATGATTTATGTATATAATTTAACAGTGTTAACGGCTACCTTGATTTATATACGTGTTAAATCTAAAAATATCCCATCAATGAAACTTTGTAAACATAGAAATTATGATATGCCTTTCCTGAGAACTGAACGTTTTAAAAATAGCCCCATCCCATATCTTATGAAATTAATTGAAGATGGTTTGGGTTCACTTTTTGTTTTATACAAATATTAAGACAACTGCTGAAGTGTAAATACATACACACAGGGAATATCAATAAATAATATGAGTAAATACTGACAAAGTTATTCACATATGAATAATAATTAATCATTAGAACTTTATGTGAAGTACTGAAATATCCA